AATCATAAGATATCCAGAATCTTTGGAAGAGCTGAAAGGGTGCTTAATACCCTTTATCTTAATACGTAGGACTGCCAAAAGCATAAGTGTTACATGCCAGTATTGCTACCATAGATGATGTTGGAGAAGATGGAAGATCACATTAAGCATCTTATGTTCGATACGGAATTCACTCTGTCACGCAACTGTTTCACTAAAATCGTGGAAAATACCCATTAGGACATTAGAAAGAACGGAACACGAGATTGAGCAAAGATATCTTTTCACTAAAATGCTAGAGAACTACCCTAGGTATAATGTATCATGTGGATCCACAATTGAAGCATCCTAATCCGAGAGACCTGATTGTCCTGTGATAATGTCAGCACTACGCTTCCTTCTTTCGTTTCCCTTTACCCCCTACCACGTTTAATATTACACCTGTAAACACTAAAGTTATACTGTGTAGACCGTTTTGCATTCTGTGTTAATTAAACCGTTTTTGCTTCATTGGACTGTCGTACACTTTCTATTTGCATGAACACTTTTGTTAATTGTGAGTGATTTTGTGTTCAGACACTGTGTTCTTGGTGTCTAGACTCCGAATAACCCCTATTCGAGGGTGTGTACCATGTTTGTCTGACACATTTTGTGTAACAGAAAAATAATCATGCAGTTCTTCAGTGGTCTTTTATCAATATAATTCAATTTGGAACCATTTGGTTGTGTTTTGGATTTGGTCAAGTCTATCTGGATCAATCTGGTTTTGTTCCAGCGTGGAAATGCGAGTCCGTCTCTTGAAAAGATTATTCACGTAGTGGCTTTAACAACCTCCTGAATTTCCTATGTCTCTTAAGTATGCTTACTTCATTCGTCCCTATGCTTTTTACTTCCTCCCCCTCATTCTTTCCCTTATTATTCGCTACCTTTCTTGTTTTCGTTTGGTCAAGAAAACTATTTTGTAAAAAGTATTTATCGTACATCAGTATATGCACCACCGTGGAACGGCAAAGAAAATTAATCAGAACTTGTCTTCACTATATTCGGCAAGCTATAGTGAGTCAGAATAAAGGTCTACTATTCCAGCATACAACACGTGTCTGAACCGCTCCAAATCTTATATCAACACTTATTACACTAAAAAATTTTAGCGTCATTTGAGTAGCTAAGCTCTTTCATAATATAGTGATGTAAAGGCTGAGAGAGGTACAGAAAATTTCTGGGTATGTCAGACTGAGCAAAGTTCACTGGGGTAACTTTCAACCTAGAAAAGTGAGAGCAAAGCAATTAAGTGAAATTATACCGCGAAGTGGGACTTACCAAATTCTCTAATAACAGACACGCCACGTAATAAGCCAATCAACAAACAGATGAAACTATTTTGATCCCATCAGTGCCATGCCCCTAGTGCATACGACAAACTATCCTCATAGGGTAAGTAACACAGGCTCATGTTCTTTGTTTGAGGGTGAAAGCTTGAGGCCCATGTTAATCCTTTTCTAGTAAATTTCTGTGCTTGTCCAAACCCTTATTGAATGAGTCGGTTGACACCAACTCTTCTGGGAGTCAGTTCCGGGAGTTTATGACTCAGCGTGAGAACCAGCACTCGACAGCAATATTGTTTCCCCTTGTCTTTTGAAATCTTCTGCTATGTTCTCTAACGTATTCCGACCTGGTGCAAAAGAAAAGACAGAATAGAACAGGTCCGTTATCAGTATTTAAAAGTGTAAACATTGTAATGAGATCTCTGCCTACGACATGGTAGGGAGGAGAGATTTAAACTGCTTCGTCTTTCCTCGTGTGATAAATTAGTCACGCCAGGAATAATAAGTGTTGTCTTCCTTTGAACCCTTTCTAGAATATGTGAATCCCCTTTGAGACAAGGACTGGCTGCCGGGATACAGTCCTCCAGTCTTGACCTCACCAGAGGTGCAGAAAAGGAGGTGAACTCAACTCTGGTGTTACTAGTAGAGGCTCTGCAAACTGCCCATAGGGATCTGAAACTATGTGCCGCTACCACGCGACAATGTGTTTAAGTATTCAAGTCGTGACTTACTATAACACCTAAATCCGAATGAGTCTGAAACGATGGGAGTGTTATTCCCCCTCGTTCGTAGGAGCTGATGATCGCGTGTACAGTGCGTATGGTTGCACATTTCTCTATGTTGATCGGGGCATGCATTCCTTGGACCACTCTAACAATTTTTCGAGGTCCTCTTACGACGTGAGCGCATCATTGCCACCTTTCGGCTGCATCCAAATCTTAAAATCATCTGCATGCAAAACCATTCGAAAATACGTGAGCGCAGATAACCAATTGATATACAAAACAAATAAGCCAGGACCGTATAATGTGCCTTGTAACGTAGTCCAGGGGAAGGGTTTCAAGTTGATCCTGAACCTCGACCTCCTACCTATGAGGAATCCCCTGATCCTGTTTATTAAGCCGCCTTCGATTCCAAGACTTTCCAACTTCATGAGCAGTGTTTTGTGAGAAACTTTATCGAAGTCTTTGTTCAAGTCTATGAAGACGACGTCGACGGATCTTCTGTTGTTCTTCGACTTGAACCAGATTTCTCTTGCCATAAGGAGGTTTACCAGACGCAGGCTTTTTCTTGGAGGCCATGCTGTGCTCTGGACAACAAGTTGTTGTTTTCCAGATATGTCATGATAGCTTTCCTGATGATTCTCTCCAGTGTCTTGATTAAGATGTTGCTGAGACTCATAGGCCTGTAGTTTAAAGAACATTGTTTTGATCCTCCTTTGTGAATGAGGGTTACAATAGCGTCTTTCCAGTCATGCGGTAACACTCCATTTAGGAGAGATAGCTTGAAGTTTAAAGTCAGCGGGCTGATTGTATAAGCTGATAACTCCATAAAAAGCCTTCTGTGAAGGATTTCAGGTTCCATTGATTCCCTTGCATCTAGTTTCCGTAGAGAATTGAATACGATATCTTGGACGATATCGACGGAGTCTGTCATGTATTCCTCCGATGCGGCCATAACTGATGCTATGAAGAGTGATGACTCCTGTGCAAACACTTTGGAAAAGTAGTTTGCCGTTGTTTCTGCATTTTCTCGTTCTTTTCGATTATATCAATGACATTAGTCAGGTTCGGGACATATCTTATTCCTGAAGTTCACGTACGAGGAAAATTTCTCAGGTTGCGCCGTTGCACTTTGAGTGAGATGCGTTTCGAACTTATTCCTCGATTGAATAATTTCTGCAATAGTGACGATTTATAACTTTCTGATCTTAGAAAGATTCAGGTGTGATGAATAGGTTCCAGCATATATGTTTATATCTGAGTAGTTTGCGAATCTTTCGATTCATGCGTGGCGGGTAATGTTTCCCACCCTTTGGGACAGACCAGGGGATGAAAGGTTCAGTTAACCGAGGCTATATTTGTTTAAACTGGTTTCATTCAGCTTCTACTTGGGACTTTGGGTCTATGTACCAGTTCAGTCAGTTGTCTGCTGAGACGACAGCATTCATATCAGCTTCCAAACTCTTGGTCTAGCCGGGTTTTGGCCCACATTGTGCTCACTTCTTCAAATGGGAGAAAGATGTTGTATGAGGTCCATATCCTCACCACAGGAGAACACCAGGCCCAGGGTTGAGGAGGAGCGCTGTGAGCCATTGCAAGTGGGTCCGTGAAGTTTTGGACTAGGACTAATAAATTACTAGATTCCAACAGTTTATAGTCAATGGAGTTGTCGGAAGATGGCGTTATAAGGCCACCCAGTCAACTGTTGGGGCGTCGAAGTCACTGACTACGAGACTTTGACATTTTGGTATCCAGGAGCCTAGTTTCTCCACTAGGAAGTTGTCTGTATTGCAGTCAGGACAGTGGTATATGGTAGTGGGATCAATATCTTCACCTATGCATTTACATCTGCAGCATAGAAGTTCGCAAATTCCAATTTCGTGTGCGAAAAATTCAATGCTACGCACGGTTAGGCATTTCTTGAAGTAAATGACTGCGCTACCTGTTTTATAGTCTAGCTAGTCCGTCCTATGCACTGTGAAGTTTGACAGGTTAACTTCGTTAACAGTGATATCGGATGTGAACCATATCTCTGTGGTGATAATTATATCCGGGTTTTCGAAGTCTGTCGTATCGTCCAGCTCAGTCTCATTGTTCAAAAGGCCACGAGCATTTGCGTAACAAACTATTAACTCAGTTTGGTGCTTCCATGCTCCATCCACAGAGGTTTCTGTATCGCTAGACTTCGAACTTTGGTAACTCGATAACCCTTAATCATAAGGCTTTTCTCGCCGTTTCGGAGCCATTCGTCTCTTGACGTCTTCTGATAGGTAGAAGTCAGCACGGATGTATATGTCTGATCCTTCAAGAGTTTGGAAATTAGATTGAAAATCCCCACTGAGTCATATGAAAAAGAGAAGACATTCAGCGAAGAGACTCTTTTCGGCGAATTCATTCACATAGCTATACAGTCGCATTTATATATAAATATTTGGAAATTGCTTTTGAGTTTATTACGACTTCGAGGTGTACTGACTGATTTACTGTAGAGTCAGCATTTTGGCCAATTCTGTACAAGTTTGTATAGTTAACCTGATACTGTTGTTAGCAGTAACTTATCCAGGAGAGGCTTCACTAGGTTAAGGTAATGTTCAAACCAGGCCTTGGGATTCGAAGCCAGTAATCTGTCAGCCCTCACTTGTCTTCCTAGAGCTAAGGCAGGTGATTGGTGCATTGTAACACATAAAAATAATCAAATATCAGAAATATTTACGACCAAGTTTGGGAATAGCGATTCAGGTGTGCGAACATATGATGACTTTGAACACATACATTGACACACTGTCTCTCGGACTATGCGACCTAATTTTTCAGCACCACTACGAATGTTGTGGACTGGTTGAGAAGCAAATTTTGTCTCTATCCGGATTTGAAATATTACCTAGGTAATGGCTTGATAATTTGTATTCACAGATGTCACCCTAAGAAAACAAACCATAGGAAGAATATTATGTAGGTCAAATGAAGCGCATCATTTCAAGACATGCGTTACAATCACAAGTCTGGTGGTGTCCGTAAGAGTGGTTACTTTTTCCCCAATACATCATATTTATATTACTCGGAATTCTGTGACGCTAAGTACTGTTATATTATAACACAATATTCATGCCTGAAAAAGTCAGCTTATTTCCGTTTGGAAACAAGACCGACTAAAACTGTTCTTGTATGCCAGAATTTTCAAAACTAGGGTTAGCATCGGGCGAAGTGACAGGTCGTCTGGGTGTTGGCATAGTCGTGTTTATAATCAAAACGTGATACATCAGGCCAAGCTTACAGTAATTCTAAAATTATTCTGAACTAAGCGATCGCGACGCGATAATCCGGGCCAATGCTAGATGAATATTTCGTGTGCTTAAGAAACCTCGTATGTACTGAAATAATGCTTGTAATGCTTAAAATGTGAACTGGACGCATAACTAATTTAACAGGTGCCAAGATAATGCCCGTCAGTACTGAATCGGGACTGAGAGCACTTTAATAATGTTAAGAATAATTTCACCAGGCTATGGAATGTTGCGGGTAATGTTAATAAAGGACAAAGAGTGCCAAATCAGTGCAAGTAACGTGGACAAACAGCACAGGGGTCTTTTTTGTCCGTAATTCCAAGTCATTTCAGAATTTATCATAGAAAAGAAGCGTTAGTTCAGAATTTGCAGTATTATTCAGATTATTGTAAGCTTGCAATAGGTCCAACTAACCAGATTCTGAGTTTGTAAGCTACTACAACGAGGAAAGACTTACTGTAGAAGATATCAGGCAAAAGCACTGCAACGCTTATTCCAGTTGCTTAAAGCCTGGTATCTCCTGGAGTAGGGATTCACAGGGAGTGACTAAGTGAAACAACATTATCGCGTCAAATTGTGGGAATGCTGAGAGTCATAAAACTGTTGATTGAAATTCTTATTATCGAACAAGAAAATAATACGTGTTCACAAGGTAGCTATGTCTTGGTTGTTTTTGAAAACTTCTTGATTCCTTTTCAGTGTATTCACATTCAGCCCCTTAATATATACCTATGAAGGTGACTATATTTCATTCTACTTTGTAGAGCGTTCTTTGGGTAACCTTCAAAACCAACCGAAATCTTAAGTCAACCTAGTAACTATAATAATTAGTTACTGTTTATATACCCGTATTATAGTCATTTGATACAAACCACCCACTGGCCTGTATGCTTGTACAATAGGAACTCTTTTGGCATAATTTTTATTTGGTATTCTTTATAGAAAGCCATTTCTAATTGTAGTATTGTGCAGTCTAGCAACCCACATTTCGTTTAATCTCTCTTGTCATCTGTTGTATTTCCATCTGAATATATATTGACAGAATAATTGAGTACGTGAGTACGCTTTGTCGAATAACCGATACTGGTAGCTTACAGTACGTATACCACGTACAGATGCCTCTTTCTTTTCTTCAGCATCGTCATGAATGGTTACTTTTCCATCGAGCGTGATTTAATCCTCCTATATAATTCTTTGTCAGCTCAAGACTGGAAAGAATGTGAGTGAAATTGTGAAGGTAGTTACTGGACAGCGTTTATGGTTGATAACATGAATTGACACTATGCAAGGTGCCATATTAGTCATTGTTAGTTTTTACGTATGACCGCCATTGATCTTCATCAAATTAGCTTTTACTGGTTTTAGTATTTCATGTAAATTGTAGTTTTCTTCATGTTCACTTTTGCATTTGTTTCGCTAGTTGATTAAACTTCACTCCAGTTTGTCTACGTGCTCGTACCATTTGTCTGAATTCAGATTACGGTTAGCATCAACAATTTATAGGGATGACGGAATGACACTGCAGTCTTACTTTATCTGCACCAGCTGACATCATCTCTGTGGCGTTTAAAGAAGATTCACGAAATCGACTTGTCAGTTAGACACTAATCTTCTCGATGCCTAGCTTATACCATGCAAAATATATTAGGCTATGTCAGTTTGCGATTTGATGAATGCATTTTTGTATCTTTTGGTGAAGTATTAATGAATTAAAATGAATCTGTTTTATCCTATTCCAATGTCTTGTTCATATAGCTCTGTCTAAACTCAGACTAGGCAGAACTGGGGAGGAACAAACGAGGGGAAATCAAGCAGACTTTAGACCAGCTAGAGAGTGCATAGATCATATCTTCACTCTCCGACAGATCCTAGAACATAGACACTTTTCGGCGTCCAACAATTGCCATATTTCTTGACTTGAAGGCGGCCTTCGACTCCGTGGATCGAAAGGTATTGTGGCAATGTTTGACTGTGAAGGGAGTGCCAAGAAAGTACATTGCACTAATCAAGGCACTCTACTCAAACTCACGTAAGGGCTTATGGGGAATTGTCATCTGAATTGATAACAACCAGTGGTGTCCGTCAGGGATGTCTACTTTCCCCATTTCTGTTTAACTTCGTTATAGATATGCTAATGGAAGTATCCTTAACTGAACTTAACGACTTAGGAATCGACTTGTTACCAGGGAATAGTCTTAAGGATTTAGAATATGCAGATGAATTATTCCTGTTAAGGGAGGATGCTGACAAAATGCAGAGTCTTCTGAACACCTTGAGCAGCAATCTTCGTATGTTTGGCATGAGATTCGCCCCTGTAATATGTAAGATGCTGCTACAGGACTGGACTACGTCTACTCCTACCTTAGTGATAGGGAGTGAGCTGATAGAACATGTTGACCACTTCACCTATTTGAGAAGTTGTGTCAGCACCAACGGACTGATTGGTGACGAAATCTCAGCACGGATCCAAAAAGCTCGAGCTGCTTTCGCAAACTTACGCCATCTCTGGCGTAGGCGTGACATCCGGCTATCAACCAAGGGACGTGTGTACTACTCAGCAGTTCGCTCCGTCCTTCTCTATGGCTCTGAAACATGGCCAATACGAGTTGAAAACATGAAAAGGTTGACTGTTTTTGACCAAAGATATCTACGATCTCTTTCTCACGTTAGGTGGTATAATAAGGTAAGTAACGTTGACGTTAGGCGTAGAGTGCTGGGCAAAGAGGAAAAATCAATCGAAGAGGCTATACAGTTGCATAGATTGAGATGGCTAGGTCACGTGCTGTGTATGCCTAACCATCGCCTCCCACTCTCGACGGGCATTACTAGCTGATATAGATGCAGGTTGGAAAAGAGTAAGTGGTGCCAAACAAAAACATGGCATCAATCCATGAAATGCTTGACAGTTAAACTGAGTCAGGTAGGGAGATGCAGACTTCCGGGTTGGGGCCCTCGGGACTCTAAGAATCAATGGCTGGAGACAATAGGTGACATGGCTCAAAATCGTTGTCGATGGCTTACGTAGATGTATTCAGTCTCTGTAATCTTTCATATTCCTTTCTACCATTACTCATTCTGTTTCACTCTTATACTTGTCAAAACTCCATTGATTCTCTTCACTCATTTTCTTGTCTACCTTTGTGTGCTATTTGGAACGTGGCAACTCGAACTGCTGCACTTCGGTGCCAAGTTCTATGTTGAATCCAGACAGAATCGTTATGTCACCCTACTTTGCAAAAGTCATTGCTTTAAGTATAGGGGTATGTGATAAAGATAATACGACGAGAAGGTAAACAGTTCCAAGTCCACTTCCATATCATGCAGTCACACTCCTTATTGGATGAATGGATTAGGGAGGTCGTTAGGTTATCATATTTAGTCTCTCTCATAGTTCGACCACCTTCCTCAAAGCACTAGACAACTTCAGTCCTAAATTTCATTGGAAATTAAAACACAAAATGAATCACACAAAGATTCGCACTGTTTCTCCCGGCAAATTGTCAAAGTTTCTTCTGGAAAAAGTAAGGATAACTCTACTGCTGGATGACAAGTTGATTACTTGCTTAGACCAGATTGACTAATCGAAATCATCCTACATGTTTTATAGTCAAATTTTGATGAATGCAAAGTGAAAATCAAACTGGTATTACCTAATAATAAAAAGGTGTTTGTTATTTGTTTTAGAATTACTGTTCTAAAGGCAAACCATTAGTAGTAGTTCTTTATTCCTACAACTAATAAAGATATTAAAAACATGACTGGCGAATCCGACTTTGAACGACTATGGTTTGATCTTAAAGGTCATTTGGCCAAGAAACCATCAGAACATTGTCCTGCAGCTACGCAGGATGAATACTTCATTAAAACTCAAAGTAAATTCATACAGCTGATAACCGGCTATCCGGTTCATGCGGTTGAACACAAGCTAGAATTGGAAATGTGGAATGTTCTGTATAAAACACGGATTGACACTTTACAGTCAAAGGTAAGTTGTGCGAAATGCCTACTGCTATTACATATATATATGCATTTACTTCATATATTTCGTTATTGTCTAAAGAATGGTGCGCATTGTTAATGGTAGTTTTATTGATGATATCGGCGCAGTTTGTTAATAAAAAACAGCCGTAGTGTTGTGACTCATCTAGAGTCTGTAGTAGCTGTTTTTTTCATTTACCTACGAAAAGTAGTTAAAACCAAATAAAGTATAATTATATTTCAATGGTTCACACACAATGATAAGTTTTGTTATTGGTAATATGTCGAGCAAAATTACTGCCCATGTTCACACCACTGTTGGAATTGTTGTTTTTTAATAATAACACGGGCAGTAATTTTGCTCAAAATATTACCAATAACAAAACTTATTGAAAACATTTATTTCCCGGTACGAGTTTAAAACAAGCAACAAAGGTTAATAAAGCAGAATTTCATGAATTCACCAAATTTCGGTAGAGCTCGTTCCTCTCCCCTTATCTATATGAACATGACCTGGAAAACATTTGCACCTGTCTTTCTGCATGACTAATTCAATGTAGTTTATTTGCTTACCAGTCTTATATCTCCCAGTGTAATTTCAAAAGTATGTATATATCCGTGTATGTAGAGTATTCAGCTGACGAGTTCTACCGAAATTTGGTGAATTCATTAAATCCTGCTTTATTTACCTTTGTTGCTTGTTTTAAACAAAACTTATCATTGTGTGTAAACTATTGAAATATATAATTATACTTTATTTGATATATTCCACAATGCTCAAACTTTTTACTGACATTAGTTAAAACCACTTCACTAGTACATTTGGCCAAGTTAAAGTATCCTAGCCAAAGTCAAGGTCTTTCAAAAGTTGTTGACCTTCTAGAACCAATCAGATACAGGGAATGCTATGAAAAGTTATTCCAAATCCTATTATACCCGCCTTTTTGCGCTTGGAGAGGGTAGATACAGTATTCTACTTATTTACTGCGTACACTTTCTCTCTAAATCTATACTGTCAGGTAGGATTATGGCTTTTAACATTAAGTTTTAGGGTTAAAGCTAAGATTAGGAGTTAGGATTATGATTAGAGTTAGAAGTAGGTTAAAGAAGAGTGTCAGAAAAATCAATTGATCTCAAAGTACCATGACGTACAGTCACCTGGATGAATGCATCTATCGTGCATGGTATGATTTCTTTATAGATCATCAGTGTAGTGACTTGAAGACATTCTTACAACACGTAAGGGGCAACTATGTAGAGTAATATCATGTTTTCAGTGGTTTTCAGTGCAGGTTTCAACGATTATGCTAGCAAGTGAATTCTGATTGGTTGTTCAAGGTCACTGTGGTTTCAGCTACGATAGTTTAACTTTGCCATACATTTCTAGTAAGGATTACCAGAAACGTGTAGAATACTAATATTACTACCTTTGTGGACGTGTATTTAGTATAGATCACTGGGATAGCTTTCTTACGTAAGTGATGCTTGATGCTGTTGAATATTGTGTCGTCGATTCATCGGACTACTACAGAGCTTAAAAAGGTATTAGTTTGAGTTGTAATGGCATAAAAATTTAAGTTATTCCCGAACTAAATTTATTTTAAAAACTTGATAAGACTTCCTCATCTTCATAATTTTAGCGATTCTAAGTTATCTGAATAAATTAGGCCTGCTATATAGGCAGACATCATCTTGCTGGCAGTAGCTACTTAAACTAGTTATAACATGGCACTAGTGGTTATTCAATTGAAGTTTCCTGATGAGTGTAATTTGTGCGAATGTGTTCAGAAGTAGTTTCGACTAGCTTAGGCAAGGAATTAAAAGGAATCTATTTACTGGTTTCAGGGGCGAAGTTTACTGTTGTAGCCGAAACCACAGTGACTTTGAACAACCAATGAGAATTCAAATGCAAAAAAGTCGCATAATCATTAAAGAGTACACTAAAAACCACTGCAAACATGATATTACACTACATAGTTGTAGCTTATCTGTTGTAAGAATGTCTCCGAATCACTACACAGATAATCCGTTAGAGAAATCATACCGCGCGCGATAGATACATTCATCCAGGTGACTATAGGTCCATGGTGCTTTGAGAACCATTGATATTTCTGGCACTAGTATTCAACCTACTCCTTTGCTAGCATTCCTTGTATCTGATTGATCCTAGGAGGTCAAAAACTTTTGAAAGACCTTGACTTTGGCCAGGACACTTTAACTTAGCCGTTACAGCTTTATGTATGCTAGGCTATATATATATATATATATATATATATATATATATATATATATATATATATAGTCAGCATCAACGAGAGAAATATGACAGAAGTTAGTTCCTTCACTTATCTAGGAAGCATTGTTTCAACCACAGGCGGAATGGATGAGGATGTCGAAGCCGGAATCGGAAGGGCAAGATACACCTTCATCAACCTGAAACCATTTTGCAAATCTTCTGCACTCCGCTTCGGTACATGCAACAACATTCGGATTTTCAACGCAAGTGTGAAGTCAGCTCTTCTGTACGGTTCAGAAACCTGCACTGAGTGTCACGAAAAGGGTTTCCAACAACTTACGAACTTTTATTAACAACTGTCTTATCTGGCTCCATACTGAAGACAAAATGGCCAGGAAGAATTAACAACAAGAAACTCTGGCAGCCAATCAATCAAGGACTGATTGCTCAACAAATATGTAGGGGAAATGGAGATGGATGGGGCATACGCCACTGAGGAGGCCGTCGAATGACATCGCGTGCAATGCAGGCCATAGCTCGAATGGAATACCAATGGGAAGCGACGATTTGGTCGTCGGTGCGACAGTGACGTGGAGGACATGAGATAATATGGGCAGTCGTTGGCCCAGATGAATAGGATAGCAGAAAATGAAACAAAATGGATGTGTTGTTAAAGCCCTATGTTCCACTCGGAACCCATAGGAATAATAATAATATGTGTATATATGTCGGTGGCACAGCAACAGGATGCTCTCCAACCACGAATGTGGTTCGGGGTTCGATCCTCGGCTAAGGCACTCCTTTACCTCAGTAAGCCGGTAATAAATGCGGTAAAGAGGAAAGGTTTTACGTGAGGCTAGCAACCCCACCCCGTAAAAATAAACACCACTGCTACTGAAACTTCAAGCCTCTAGCTTGAAGCCCTATTTTCCACTGAGAACGTAAAGGAATAAAATTAATAATTAATATATATATATACATATATCTATGTCTTGTGTTCAATAATCCCTAGTGGGGGTCTTGTGATTGCCCATTCCTTCAGAGTAGTACTCAACTAGGGCGAAACAACTCTCCACTGTTCTTTTGTTTCCAGTAGTTGTCTAACATGTCATTTCATGACAAAAACTTCGTTGTAATCAAAGCATTTTCTTCCCACTGTCTTTTTTTAGTTATCTCAATCATTTTCTGTTATGGATAATGGTGGACTACTCAAATGTTCACCTTTAGAACTTAAACTTCGTCTAGTCTTACTATTCGATCGTGCTTCAGGAGTTTATTTCAATCTTATTTATCAATTACTTCAACCATTGTCAGAATCAGCATGGCCTAAATTGGTAAGTTTTGTTGTTGTTGTTTTGTTGTTGTTGTTGTAGATAATCTGATTTCATAACAAATTATGCTGAATGGTATGCTGACATGTCAGTGTAGTTTTTTTCATTCTCAAGCTATACAGCCGCATATTTATATATTTTTTATTCCTTTATGTTCCCAGTGGAACATAGGGCGGCTTCAAGCTAGAGGCTTGAAGTTTCGGTAGCAGTGGTGTTTATTTTCATGGGATGGGGTTGCTAGCCAGCCTCATGCCCAACCTTCCTTCTTTATACCAGTCTTATTACTGGCTTAGCGAGCGAGGTAAAGGAGTGCGTCGTCCAGTGGCCGGGGATCGAACCCAGAACCACCTGTGGCGTGGTTGGCGAGCATTCTACCGCTGTGCTACCGACGCATTTTTCCAAAAATATCATTAAATGTCTTAAGGTGAACTCTGTAAGGGTGAGCGTATTGTTCAGCAGTTCACTTACTCCTCCTTTATGGCTGTAAGACCTGACCATTGAAAGTGGAAGACGGTGAAAAGGCTAGCTGTCTCTGATCATAGGTGTCTGCGTTCTATCTCCGATGTGAAGTGGTATAATAGGGTGAGCAATACTGAGGTTAGGCCAGCTAAATAAGGAAAGGAAATCAGTCGACAAGGCTGTGAGAAGTCACATCGATTGAGATGGTTAAGACACATGTTACGTATGCCCAGCCATCAGTCACCTTCCTCGACAATGGGCAATGTTAGCTGACATGGGATCAGGCTGGAAAAGAGCCAGTGGTGGTGAAAACAAAACATGGCTTCATCACCAGTCAATGAAATCCACGACAGCTAGTTTAAGCCACATCCGGAAGTGTAAACTTCGTGGCTGGTTGGGGTCCTGGGGATGGTAAAAACCAATGGCGTCTGGAGACAATTGGTGATATGGCTGAAAATGATTGTCAATGGCTGGCGCAGATGCATTCACTCTTTGCAATTTATAATATCCAATAAAACTCTATTGATCTTCCATATTACTATACTTTTTGCCTCATATCTCCGTTTTGCATCTCTCTTCTCTTGCTTTGTGTGCTACGTGAAGTGTGGCAACTCTAACTGCTGCACATTGGTGCAAAGTTCTATGTTGAAACCAGTCAGTCAGTTAGTCAGTCAGATGAGCTCTATTCATTCCTGTCAATTACGTTAAGTCACTCAGTGGTTACCACGAAATACATACAAACAAATACCAAAAAGAGATGGGGAACACTGAATGTCAGTTCAAGCAACGGCTGACAGATATCAAGTGTAGTGATAAAATAAAGAGGTTGGATTGTGAACTGTAATAAAATACTAGAGACACGATAGGCTTTTATTAGATGGTTGGAGACAATCGGCCACAGGAAGCCCTACCTGACCTAGGTTTCGTGCTAGTTGGCACTCATCAGTCAGTCAGCAAGGTAGGCGTATCTGCAACCAACATGAAGGAACTCATGTCCCTTCTGAGATTCAAACCGGCGTCATCCAATGCTGCAGTCAGAGAGAGTAGAGAGGCGTTACCACTGAGCTATTCGGGTTCGCGATCGACCTCCTGTAGGACTGACTGTATTGGATACGTTGATTACCTCCAGCCATCTAATGTTAACAATTCAAAAGGCACTCTGATGGCGAACCATCTAGAATGATGGCCATATGGCAAGCCCCACTACTGATAGAATTCACTAGTTACTGACTAGTGTCCATTCAAACGTGATAAGCATAGTATAAATTACAAAAGGTTGACACATAATAAAGGTAATAGTGGAGTGAAGTAAATTAGTTGAAAAGGCATAAGAAAGGCATCACATGACATGGACAGTTTCCGGTATAATTTTCACATGCCTTTAATGACTTGCTATTTATATTATAATATTCGTGGATTTTATAACTGTGTAGAGCAGTGAGGAAGAATTTATCGAAAGCACTATTGATCTCTCAGAATAATCTTGTTCTAATTATACTTGTGTGTCCACTTAGACATGTTTAATCCATGCCTAGCCATCACCTGCCTTCCTCGACAACTAGCAATGTGATTAGTTTCAACATCGAATGTTGCACTGATTTGCTGCAGTTCCAGTTGCTACTCTTCCTCCATGTAGCACAAAAAGCAAGAGAAGAGAGCTAAGACAGATAATAAACAGAAGTGTAAGGGAGAACAATAGAATGAATGCATATGTGCCGTCACTGTAAGCGAGGATCTTGAGTCATATCACCAATTGTCTCCAGCCGCCATCCCTAGGATCCACCCCAAGTACACTGACGGTCTACACCTCCCTCCCTATGTGGTAGGCTCGCTGGCTTAAACTAACTGTTATGCATTTCATTGACTGATGAAGCCATGTTCTGGTTTGACCACCACGTGCTAGCTCTTTCCCAACCTGATTCATCCTATATCAGCCGCTGACATTGCCTATTGTCGAGGAAGGAAGGCGATGGCTAGGCATGCGCCAAACATGTCCTAACTATCTCTCTCAATCAATGTAACCTCACAACCTCGTTGATTAATTTCCCCTCCAACTTACCTAGCACTCTACCGAAACCTAATCTCCTCAATATTACTCCCCCTATTATGCCACGTAACAGGGGAGATAGAACACAGGCAAACACCTATGATCAACGACAGCTGGCTGGCCAGGCTTTTCATGTCGTCCACTTTCAATGGGGTCCATATCTCACTCACAGCCAGCCAGCCATAAAGGAGGACGGGGCGAACTGTTGCTGTTGCTGCTGAGCAGTACACACGTCCTTTGGTTGACAGCCAGTCGGCCGGATATCACGTCTACTAAATGAGAGATGACGTTAGTTTGCAGGATCTTTTGTATCCGTTCTGAGATTTCATCAGCGAGCAACCCCTTAGTGCCGGCTGATGCAACTTCGCAAAATAAGTGAAGCGGATAGTAAATAACCTACACCAGCCTTACAGGATTGTCTATGCTTCCTAGACGTTGCCTAATACCTTAGTTAACCCAGACAGTAAATTGACTCCACCGTGCTTAAACACACCTCTGGAGTCATTCTGCCAGGTTCCGCTGATTTGCCTCGTTTCAGACTGAAGACAAATTGTGTAACGGAGGATCGGTGTTTATATCCCATCCAGGGAGGCTTTGGATGTTCGGTGAGTTGAGCGTGGCTCCTTAAAATGTTCCTCCCAACGTCCCAATCGTCTATCGTGAGAGCTAATTAAGGCGCCATTTATCTCGGAGATTGTCTCACTTATTTACTTTTTGCTACCTATTCCCCTGATAAGTCTAAATAGTTGTCGGATGTTACCTGGTGTTCAGCTTGCAATGACTAGATCACTGGTCCTAATGCTGCTCCACCTACTCCACCTACCGAGGTATGGAGAGCCGGCTGCCATCATTAGCCTTCACAAAATAGATGTATCTCACCGTGTCAACTGCATGTGAATGCAAGTGGACTACTGAATGATATCATTCTTTTCGTTTATTAAAAGCATATACTGAACATGTAACTGTACGTCGGTGGCGTAGAGATAGAATGCTGGCCAGCCGCTCCCTCGGTCCATGGTTCGATCCTCGGCCGATGTACTTATAAACCTTGCTTCACTGGTGGTAATAAGCCCGGTGTTAAAGAGGGAAGTTCTATTTTGCGTAAGATTTATTTTGATAAATTCCCACAGTGTTATACAATAATATTTACTAATGGTGACATTTCGAGCACAATTTACTACTGCTCATAATCATATCAAGTCACTCACACAACTTTCTAACTTTGTTTATATAATTCCATTATCTTTTATCGCTTGACTTGATTGGTAGTAGTATTTTCCATATTTCCGTTATGAGTGATGAGTCATTCCTATTGCATGTATTGGGTGTAGACTCGATGAACCAGGATCCATTAATCAATCTCTCTCTCTGCCTACCTGTATTACTTAATAGAATTTTAACCTCTCACCCTATTGTGTGGTTGTGTGTTAATGCATGCAGTGCAATGCAGTACTGAGCTTTTTTCTAAATTACTTATCTTCTCGGGGTCAACCATTCCTACCTTAGCTTAATTCTTATGTTCTGACAATCTGACTACTCCTGACCTACTAGTTTGACCTATGTAGTTGACCTCAGTCATTGCATGGTATTTTGTAAATTATACTATTTTGTCTAATTGGGTCAACCTATGTGATCCTTTAACCTACAGAGCTTGTAGGTCTAAATGCCACTCTAATTACTGCTTTGTTGAGAATCCTACGTAGGGTCTCAAATGTCCCCTCCTCATATGGTATAACAGTAGATGCCGTATATTCTCTCTTATGAATGTCATCATTACTGGTTTTACAATTATTTTTATTTTGCTTTTGACCTTTTCCGATCTTCCTGATGAATTTTATAGGATAGTTATTTGTTACCAACGCTTCTTCTATCTGTTTTATTTTGTCATTTACGCCTTTTGTTGTACTAATTAGTACTACTGCTTGCTTTGTTAGACACACTTAACTAAGTCTGCCTTAACAACCTTAACGGAAGGAAATGTGGAAAATACTACTACAAATCCAATCAAGAGATGAAACATAGTGGAATTGTATAAACAAAGTTAGAAAGTTGTGTCAGTAATTTGATATGAGCTATGAGCGGCAATAAATAGTGCTCGAAACGTGGTCATTAGCCAATATTACTGTACAACACCACTGTGTGATTTATCAAAATAAATTTTACCCACAATAGAATTATACTCTACCACTGTACAGCATAACTTCTGTTCCTTATATCAGTAAAGAAGGAAGGTGGTACATGAGACTAGCGCAACCCCCTACCCTCCCACACACATCCGATAAAAATAGAACCCCTGTTACAAGGGAAAATTCAAAACTCTAGCTAACTTGACGCCGTATGTTCCACTCAGAATAAACATTACTGAGTTGATTTTTTTTTTAAATTCCTTTACGTTTCGAGTGGAACATTGGGCTTCAAGCTCGAAGCTTGAAGTTTCGGTAGCAGTGGTGTTTATTTTCACGGGATGAGGTTTATTTATTTATTTAAACGCATTAAAACTTGGTACAATATGGCACCAAGAAGTATGCGCCACACAATAATAATAAAACAACATAGATGAAAAAAAAGGAAGGAAGGCAGGAAAAGAAAAAATATATATAAGTAGAGAACGAATAAAGAACTTCATCTGGAAGGAAAACACTCATTCTTAACAGGTTCAAACAGTGTTCGTTAACTATCATCGGGAATAGAAGAAAGAAGGAAATCGCAACACATTCGCCATTGATTACGATTCTTGGCCATATCCGATAACGTTTCGAGCCATCGATTTGAGCTATCTCTCAGACCCCAACCAGGGAGTCGTGACACACCAACCGATGCTAATCTAGCACAGAAATCCTTCATCCCACGACGCCACGTCATGGGCTGACCACCTCTCCGCCTTTTCCATCCCGTCCCAGGGCTAGCGAACAGAGGCCTGTACGGAAGCCTCTGGGATGACATTCGCAGCACATGTCCAAGCCCCCGAAGTTGGTGTTTCCAGATGACGACATTCAATGAATGGTGATCTCCACTGTGTTCAAACACACGCCGCCGAACCTCAGAATTACTCACGCGATGATGCCATCGAACGCAAGCAATGATGTTGCTAGCCAGCCTCATGCCCAACCTTCCCTCTTTATACCAGTCTTATTACTGGCTTAGGGAGCGAGGTAAAGGAGTGTGTCCAGTGGCGGGGGATCGAACCCCGAACCACCTTGACGTGGTTGGCGAGCATTCTACCGCTGTACCACCGATGCACCACCGAGTTGATTAGTTCCGTTTTATATGAGTACTCATGTTTTTTTTTTTACAAATATTTTCTTCCCTTTTCATCATAGATGCTTATAAATGCCAAAGATCAGTTTAGTGTAATCAATAGAAATAAAGTGAAACATGTATGCGACTACATTGATTTGGATCTGGCAGCTTTTTGTGCTAATAAAACCTTCAGTAAACGCAGTAAATACTCCGATGGTATTAAACAATGTTCAACAAGTACAACTGAGGACAATACAAATACTATCACTCCACGTATACTTTCTCGAGGTGATCGTCTTCCTACAGATATTATTATGCCAGCCACTTCAAAACTCGAAGACGACAAAAAAATGATGAATGATTCAAATGTACAGAAAACATCTCACAAACTAATAGAAGGTGTGGAAGGTGACAATAAGATCGATGGTGATGATAATCTACAACTTGACTCTCTACATCATTTGGATAATGAAACAGCTGTCATCTATTTAGTGCATCACTGTTTAATTCATTTGGGAGATATTGCTCGGTCAGTGTGTGTCTGTTGTGTGTGCGTGTGGCTTTTAATTTGATTCTTTTCTATTGATTTATTATTATTTGTTTTATTATTATATATTATTGTTCCCTTGGGTTCCTAGTGGAACATAGGGCTTCAACTGCACGCCTCCACTTGCTTCTGTCTTCTGCTGTACTTTTCACTTGCATCCATGTTAGTCCATACTGTTTCAACTCTTCTTCACACGACCTCCTCCATGTCACCCTTGGACGTCCCACTCGCCGCTTCCCTTTCGGGTTCCACTCGAGCGCCTGACGCGCGATGTCACCCAGCGGCCTCCTCAGCGAGTGTCCAATCCATCTCCACTTTCTCCTGCATATTTGTTGGGCGATTGGTTCTTGTTTCGTTTGTTCCCATAGTTCCTTGTTGGTGATTCTTTCTGGCCATCTGATCTTCAGTATAGAGCGAAGACAGTTGTTGATAAAGGTCTGCAACAGGCTGTTGGAAATATTCTTTGTGACCCGCCAAGTTTCTGATCCGTATAGAAGAACTGGCTGACTTGACGTTTGTATTGAAAATCCGAATTTTGTTGTTGATGCTGGGTGACGAAGATTTCCAGATTGGTTTCAGGTTGATGAATATGTTTCTCGCCTTCCCGATTCTCGATTTGACATCCTCGTCCGTTCCTCCTGTAGTTGAGACAATGCTCCCTAGATAAGTGAATGAAGTAACCTCTTTCAAATCCCTCCCGTTGATGGTGATTGGCGCTGGATGTTGCTGTTGTTGTTGTCTATGTTCACCTGGAGTCCTGTCTTTGCTGCTTCTTCGACCAGTTTGTCAGTTTTCGCTTGTAAGTCTTCGATTTTGTGTGACATCAAACATAAGTCATCCGCGAAATCCAGGTCTTCTAGATTCTTCACGTCGGTCCAGGATATCCCTGTCTTCTCGTTTCCCACTGTCTGACGCATAATCCAGTCCACCACAATTAAAAATATCATTGGTGATAATAAGCACCCTTGTCTGACTCCTGTGTTTACTCCAAAAGCCTCGCTGAGAATATTTATTAAGTTATATAAGGGGTGTATAGGGTTCAAAATACTTAGAGGTTTAGGCTATCTCCTGCTAATCTACTTTCTTCGTTGGACCAGTGAAGTTAAAACACCCTAGCCAAAGTCAAGGTCTTGTCGGTATTAGATGGTTGGAGGCAATCGGCCACAGGAAGCCTTGGACCTAGGTTTCGTGCTAGTTGGCACTCATCAGCAAGGCGTATCTGCAACCTTGAAGGAACTCATGTCCCTTCTGAGATTCGAACCCGCGTCACTCAGTGCTGCAGTCAGAGACGTTACCACTGAGTCAAGGTCTCCCAAAAGTTCTTGATCTTCAAGAACCGATCAGAGTGACTCTAAACTATAGCCGCCCAAACCGAAACTACCTAGTGAACGGATAAATGACCTTGAGCAACCAATCAGATGACTCCGTATTATCCAGACTTACTTATGGATGCTGTAGTACACCTTTTACGTTGGAAATTCGCTCCAGATCTTGTTTTTGATTACTGTTTGGAGAACGGACTGATAGGAAGGTGGAAAAATTGTCAATTGTGGAGGTGTCATGCATATACAAAGATACACTAGGTGCATTGATGGGTTTGTTTATAGGTGCAATGAGTGCCGAACCAGAAAATCAGTTCGAAAAGGTATCTCCTTCTTACTTGGTTATGCAGTAACTTGTTGCTAACGCCTAAGAATCAACTTATCTTGAATTCCGTAATTAATTCTCACCTCTCTTTTAAAAAAACTTAGATATCTTCTTACTAACATCTATTAGTTATTTTCAAGTATTGGTTTTTGTAGGGATTTTTGTTGGATTGGTTGGAGGATGTCATCATGAGCTGACATCAGTTAGAGAACCATTGGAAAACCAGCTAGGAGTACTGGACAACTGTTCCGTTGGCCTAGTTTGGGACTGTTCAGTAGTACACAACCACCCACTCACCCCCACTGTCAGGGTTCGAACGCAGGACCTTCCGGTTACAAGGCGAGCTAGCTCATAGACCATTCAGCCACTCACTGGAACCCAATCCAATGACCAGTCCATGACTTCCAGCTTCTGCCAAATCACACACGGTATAGTGCGACTAGCACTAGCCAATGTCATCATCGCTGGCGAGCATTTGTCCTCACACTCGACCTACTGTACTTCACTAGTATCCTAGTGACTTAGTGGTCTACGAGCTAGCTCGCCTTGTAACCAGGAAGTCCTGTGTTCGAACCCTGGAAGTGGGGGTGGATGCATGGGTGTGTACTGATCAAGAGTTAGTCCCAAACTAGGCTGTCCATTCCTCTCGACTGGTTTTCCAGTTGTCCGCTAACCGACGTCAGCTCATGCTGAAATCCTGTAACCAATCAAATCAAATGGCTGCAAATGAACACTTGAATAATCTAACTTGTTGGTAGAATGTTTTGCATACACTTCGTTGAAATTCATTTATTTTAGTGTATTTTTTTGTTTATAGATATCGTCAACAACGAAATGTTGCTGCTGGTTATTACCTTTGGGCATGGGCTGTACATCCTGATTCTGGTCATTCATTTAATCAACTGGCTATTTTGGAGGCGACAAAAGTTGGTAGATTTTTACACTTTTTTTATTTATTTATTCCTTCACGTTCCCAGTGGTGGGACATAGGGCGGCTTCAAGCTAGAGTCAAGCTTGCGGTTTCTGTAGCAGTAGTGTTTACTTTTACGGGGTGTGGGTTTGCTAGCCAGCCTCATGCCTAGCCAACCTTCCCTCTTTATACCAGTCTTATTACTGGCTTAGCGAGCGAGGTAAAGGAGTGCGTCCAGTGGCTGGGGATCGAACCCCGAACCACCTGTGGCGTGGTTGGCGAGCATCCTAACGCTGTACCACCGACGCATTTTATTTTTATTTGAACATTGAATCGTAATGATACATAAGGCATATCATATTTGAAATGGTTTCACTCTTTGGATATGATTCGATGTTAAATAATGTAAGGCACTCTGCTCGTATTCATGCAACTAGGTAAGGGCCTACAGAGAGTTGTCACCTGACAGCTGTGAAGAAAACCAGTGGTGTCCCTCAGGGGGATGCCCACTGTCCCCATTTCTGTTCAATTTCATCATAGATGTTTGTGCTAATGGACGGACTTAAGCTTAACTGACTTCAGCGACTCAGGGATTGACTTATTACCGCCAGGGAATAGTAGTCCTATTGACTTAGAATATGTGCATGATATAATCGTTCTAGGTGAAGACGTTGACAAAATAGAGCAGTCTTCTGAAAACCTTGAGGAGCAGCAATCTTCGAATGTTTGGCATGCGATTCGCTCCTACTGCCGTGTGTAAGATGATGCCATAGGACTGGACTGGACCACATTGACCCACTCCTAGACTAAAGATAGGGAGGCAGTGAATTGGTAGAGAGTGTTGACCACTTGACTTATTTGGGAAGTTGCATCAGCCGGCGCCAAGGGGCTGATCTCAGAACGGATAGAGAAGGCTCTTCTGGCATTTGTGAACATACGGTATTTCTGGCTTAGTAGACGTGATATCCGGCTGACTGGCTGTCGACCAAAGGACGTATGTACTGCTCAGTAGTAGCAGCAGCAGTCACTTCGCTCCGTCCTCCTCTATGGCTGGCTGGCTGACTGGCTGTGAGTAAGACATGGCCGCCATTCTATGTCTAGCTAAATTTTTGTGTTCCAAATAATCTAGTTGACCCTTCATCTACTAGTTTGACTGGCCTATGTAATTGACCTCACTCACGGTCATTACATGCTAATTGGTTTTATTTTTCATAATTGTATTTATTGGATCAAATAAATTATAATTATATAATACCGGGGACAATTCAATAAAGGAAGGGTATACAAATTGAATAAGCAAAACGAAAAATGAGTAGATCCAAAATATGAAATGGGGATTATCATGCTTTGACAAAGAGGGATTAATTCAAGTATTGGTTTGTAGGAATTTGATTGATTGGTTACAGGATTTCATCATGAGCTGATATTGGTTAGGGAACCATTGGAAAACCAGCTGGGAGTACTGGACAGCTGTTTCGTCCTAGCTTGGTACTGTTCAGCAGTACACACCCACCGCCATGGTTCGAACCCAGGACCTTCTGGTTACAAGGCTAGCGAGCTAGTAAACCATTCAGCCAGCGCCATTGGGACCCGATTCAATGGCTAGCCCATGAATTCCAACTTCTGCCAATTCACGACATAGCGCGACCACTAGCCAATGTCTTCGGCGAGTATTTGTCCTCACACCCGACCTGCTGCACCCTACTGGTCACGACTTCCCACCAGAACCCAGGTAACTACCTACCTACCTGAAGGGATTAAGACTATGAAAGTTGGAGGAGTTGAACGAACTTTCTCTGTATACAGAGATCCGGCTTTTTCTGCTTCGATGACCAAAGATGGCTTCAGCAATACAGATGGGTTGGATACGTAGTAATTTGGGCAAATTACTTTTCGCCTTGTAGATGACTTTAAAGGCGGAGACTGTAGAGAGAGATAGGGTGATCATTATCGACCAGATGTTCAATAATCGCGCTTATTATAGCTCCACTTCTACCTCTTCGTAACCACCATACAGGATAGTATTCTAGCCCCCCTCTTGGACAAAACTCAAGTCGAACGACTGATATACCTAGCTCCACATGAGCAGGTGAATGGATAAATGCACATAGAGTTGATCTACTAATCTAGAGCGTTATTCAATTAACCTTTCTTCTGATCGCCTGCAGTAATTATATTTATGGACTACCCTGTGAAATAACTAACCACCGTTGTTATTAGTAACTGACTAACTAATTAACTATTGATTAATTGATTGATTATTGATTTTATTTTTAATTTCCATTTTTAGCCTTTATCCAAACGATATATAGATGCATTATTTTATTATTATATTCGTGGAATTTCATGTGAACATGCTTTTCCAGCAGCAATGAATAATCTAACTAGTATACTATCAACTTGTTTACAATCATCATCCAGCAGTCAACTGAATACTACGAAAAAAACATCTAAAGAGTCGATGAAATTTGAAAAATTAAATAAAAAATCATGGCCAATATATGATAATTTACAAATTCAAGTATTTATAGAATTTTATGCTGAGCTTCAACTAAAGAAAGGTATCTATTTATGTTGATGTAACGTTTTTGTTACTGTTTATTCTGGTTCTGTGTGACAACTATATTTTATATATTTTAGGAAGAGAAGAGAATAATTCTGGTGAATGGTGACTGGCAGTGGATGGAATCCAGAATAACATGCATTTCGTCCCATTTGGAACTCGTCATCTCGATGTGCCTACATTCTCCTGTAAGCGAGTGATGGTGTTCCCCTCACTGACGCTTGAACCAAGTACTCATAGTTTCAAAGCGGCAACATCATCACTCACCCACTCATTCACGACCAAAGGGCGTATGTACAACTCAGCAGTCCGCTCCGTCCTCCTTTATGGCTGTGAGACTTGAACATTGAGAGCGGAAGACATGAAAAGATTAGCTGTCTTCGATTATAGATGTCTGCGTTCTATCTCCCACGTGAAGTGGTTTAATAAGGTGAGCAATATGGAGGTTAGCCATCGGTCGAGTGCTAGGTAAGGAGGGGAAATCAGTAGACGAGACTGTGAAGTTACTTCGACTGAGATGGTTAGGACATGTGCTACGTATGCCTAGTCATCGCCTTCCTCGACGGGCAATGTTAGCTGATATAGGGTCAGGCTGGAAAAGAGCTAGCGGCGGTCAAACGAAAACATGGCACCAGTCAATGAAATCTACTACAGTTAGTCTAAGCCACGTAGGTAGGTGTAGACTTCCTGGTTGGGGTCCTCGGGACGGTAAAAACCAATGGTTGGAAACAATTGGTGACATGGCTCAAAATCGTTCTCAGTGGCTGGTGCAGATGCATCCACTCCTTGTGACTTATGATTTCCAATGAAACTGTTTCGTTCTCCGTTATTACTATTCCTTTGTGTCACACCTCTGTTTACTGTCTATATTATGGATTTCTCCTACTTTCTTCTCTTGCTTTGTGTGCTACATGGAGTGTGGTGACTTGAACTGGCACACATATGTGCAAAGTTCTATGTCGAAAACCGACCGACCACTCATTCACTGGAGAATGTCGGTACATTCCAGAAGTCGAGCCAGCCAGTCCCAAATTTTTTATGTTCTTTCGCCTTCCTAATGAAACATAGGGCTTCAAGCTAGAGCTTTGAAGTTCCAGTGGCAGTGATGTTTCTCTCCGGGGTGAGGTTGCTAGCTTCACACCCAACCTTCTATCTTTGTCGGAATCGCTACCGACTAAGTGAGGTAAAGGTATGCGCCGGTTGGGACTCGAACCCCGGACCACGTGCATGGTGGTTGGCCAGCACTCTACCGCTGAACCATTCGAAGCCATTTGCAAATAGGGAAGGTGAAATGCGCGTTATCCTGGATTCCATCCATTGATAATCACCATTTACCAAATTACTTCACATGAAATTGTCAGACATCGTCGGGGCGTCCGCACAAGGAGCCGATATGTCAATTTAAGGCCGGGCACTTCGAGGTCCAGTAAATCAACGGGAAGGTGCAAATTGGATTAAATAATTTTTTCTATTTGTTGTTTCAAACAAGGAGCAAATGTTTTCGGCAAAGCAGCATCAAACTTTTCAGTCAAATACTCTAAATAATACAATGTTATATGTGATTTTATGAAAAATGCATAAAGAGATGTGTGACTAATAAATAAACTACAATGAATCATGTGTATCTCTTATTGACTGACTGAGTGACTAGTTTCAACATAGAACTTTGCACACATATGCAGCAGTCCCAGTTATCATTCTTCCTCCATGTACCACACAAAGTAAGAGAGGATAGTAAACAGATATTCAAAAGTGTGAGAGAGAGATACTCAACAGAAGTGTGTGAGTCAGGGAAAAGCAATAGTAAGTAATAATGAAGAATAGAGTTTTATTGGATATGACTGACAAATCACACAAAGAATGAATGCATCTGCGTTGTCACTGATAACGAGGATTTTGAGCCATGCCACCAATTATCTCCCGCCTCCGTCATTGATTATTTCCTACCATCTCATCAGTACATATTACTGTATGACACTGTGAGACTTTATCGAAATAAATTTCACCCATATTGGAAGTAACACAAATATCCTTCATCCCACGACGCCACTTCATGGGCTGACCACCTCTCCACCTTTTCTATCCCGTCCGAAAGCTGGCGAACAGAGACCTGTACGGAAGCCTCTGGGATCACATTTGCAGCACATGTCCAAGTCACCGAAACCGGTGTTTCCAGATGACGACACTCAACGAATGGTGATCTCCACTGTCTCCAAACACATACCGCCGAACCTCAGGATTACTCACGCGATAATGCCATCGAACGCAAGCAATCCTGTGGAGACGGCGATGATGGAATACGCAGAGCCGCCCCTCATCGTCAGCTCAGAGAGGCCAGGTTTCACAGGCGCAGAGCAAGAAAGCCCTCACCGAAGCATTGTATACCCGACCTTTGACAGTCAAGCTAACATCGTGATGGAGCAAGAGGTGGCTCAAATTAACGTATGCCACCCTAGCTTTCATGATACAGTTGGAAATCTCATCCGTCACCCCTCCGCCAGCACTCACAACTACCCAGGTACACAAACTTATCGACAACTTCAAGCGGTTTACCTGCAAGAGTGAGTGCAGGTATAGGCTCCTGCCAATCCTGTAACAGTACTTTGCACTTAGACGGCGCAAAGCATATATCATACTTACAGACACTGATCGCCAACTGATTAACTGCGATTCGGGCAGCCTACATGCTATCGCTAGACACGCTTAACACATGTCCTAACCATCTCTGGCAATCCATGTTACTTCACAACAGCGTATGTAGAGAGTATTTTGCTGATGAAGAGTTCTACAGAAATTTGATGAATTCATTAAATCCTGCTATTATTAACAACATTTGTTACCTGCTTCAAATTCACATCGGAAAATAAATGTTTACAATGTCTATTGGTTGTTGTTTACTTACAATGATGGTACGGTCCAATGAATTGCAGGCATTCGTCTTTCAACCAGCAAGTTATAAGTTCTTACTCTAGCGCTTCACCTGTTGAAATCTGTACAACTATAACTGGTAACGTCAACCCTGACAACAACAGTAATAATAATAACAGCTCTATTCTGAATAGTATTTATAAAATGTACAGAATTTTCAGCGAAGTTTATTGCTTGGTATTTTCTCTTCGTCCACGATCTTCAAATAGGAGATTTGCTTGACAGTGAATCGTTTAACAACAGGTCTATCTCACCTGAATCACAAACCAATCCGGCAAAGTTAAACTTTCAGCACCACTAACAACCAATCAGCAAACGACCTTGAACGGACCAATCACATGAAAGAGGCATTTATGATAAAGGGAAACGTATATTTATAGAAAAAAGCATAAAAGAAAGCATAAAACTGTTACATAGGGTATCTTTCTCTAACATGTGAGAGAAACATCTCCCAGTTAAGCATCGGACTGTCAATAGAAAAGTTACACCACATTCTGTACATATATTCATCCAAATGACTATAAATGAGATCCTTTTGAGATCCATTTATAGCCCTTATCCTATTTTTCAACCTGCCCCAAAATCCTTCAATAGAATTTGTATGTGTCCTCGTAATGGGATCGACAAAATCACTTGAATGGTTGACTCTATGATGAATATATCCCAGAGATGACAGAGAATTGTAACCTTTCCATTCGTCCGTATGTATTATAGATCCCCGTTTTACAAGTCTTGTAATAATAGGTATAAGAGTAGTTGCTTTTCTATCTTCTATCCTTTCCACGAATCCCTTTCGGAGGGAGGTAAAATGGCTCGCTGCCGACCACGGTTGTATTTCTTCTTCACCAACACAGTTTCGTCGACGTGCACAACAATGTCTTCTCCACTTAACAAAGAAGTAATTTTCTCCATTTCTCACGATGCAATGTCTCTGCAATGCTGATACCACTGAACTGTTGAGACGAGGCTATTCTCCGTTTCAGCAGCTGCGGCTCTCACCGGCTGTTTCAAGACCCAGTAGTTGCAAATATACAAAATTTGCGTTAAGGAGAGATGTGACCGTGCAAAAAAAAGTTCCTACGAAATATTAAAATTATCAGTTGACCTGCTAAAGCTTTTTAAAGTCATCACACCACCACACGAACAAATTCTCTCCTTCCGAAGCAACCTTAAATCCAGGCAATACTAGAAAACACTATCCTCCTCGAATTGCAACCGTAACTTCATTAGGGCACACATTTGAAATGAATCAAGCGCTATACAACATTGAATTCACGTTCGTGAATCTCATTGGATAATTCGACGTCGTTCGCTGATTGGTAGTTGGTGGTGCTTAAAGTTTAACTTAGCCACCAATCCATTATGATGATATCTCTTCTTTTTCTCCTTCGAGAAAGACACGACAACATTTTGTTGAATGTCAATTATAAAAAGTTCAGGAGTACATTTTTTATAAACCAAGGACACCATTCGGGAAGGGTCATGTCATTTACTAGGGTGAGCTGCCATCAAGAATAATACTTTTTCTCATGTTTGTTTTAGAATGTTTTAAAAACTCGCCAGAGTAAACAGTACTAGTTTACGAGATTTAGACAAACTAAATAAAAGAAATTATGTTCAATATATACTGATGGATGTTTTCGGTGGCTCAAGTTTTAAGCAGGCCATCCTTGAAGAGGTGTAACTTATTAGCCACTTACGTTAAGATAGTTGCACACTGTGTCGGATAAAACTGACTATAATACAATCCATTGGAATTTCGCCTATTATTCTGTCTACCTCATACAGAATATATGTGAACTCTTGACCTGAATAAGGTCAGAATTCTGTGGGGAAATAAATAATGATGAACAGTGTTCACAAAATGTTTGACTTCCTAGAAGAGACTGAAGGACAGTTCAATCATTGTGAAAGAAGCACACAAAAGGTGTGCTTTAACAAAAATAATGATCTAGTTTACAGGATTTTATCATGAGCTGACATCGGCTAGAGAACCATTGGAAAACATGGGAGGAAAAACACTCGCCGATGACATTGTCGCGCTACATCGTGTGTGATTTCGCAGAAACTGGAATTCAGTGACTGGTCATTGGATCGGGTCCCATTGGCTGAGTGAACGGTCTGCGAGCTAGCTTATCTTATAATCGGAAGGTCCTGGGTTCGAACCCTAGCAGTGGAGTGGGTGTGTACTTCTGAGGAGTGCCAAACTAGGCTGACGAAACAACTGGCTGTCCAGTACTCCAGTAGTGATTTTCCAATAGTTCTCTAACTGATTTCAAGTCATAATGAAATCCCGTAACTAATCAAATCCTCAAACAAACTACAGACCTTCATTGACAGTTGTCTTCGCTCAATACTCAAGATCAGATGGCCAGAAAATATCAGCAACAGGGATCTTTGGGGACGAACGAACCAGGAACCGATTGTGAAACAAATAGGCAGGAAGAAATGGAGATGGATTGGCCATACTCTTAGGAAACCATCAAGTGACATCACAAGACAGGCCATCGCTCTAGTGGAACCCGAAAGGGAAGCGGCGAGTTGGTTGTCAGTGCAAGGGTGATTTAGAGGAGGTCATGTGAAGAGGAGATGAAAACGTGTGGGCAAACTTGGAGCCAGGTGAAGACTCTAGCAGAGAACCGAACGCAATGGAGACGTTGTGGCTGAAGCCCTATGTTCCTCTAGGAATTAAAGGATACAATAATAATAATAATAATCAAATCCTTGCAAACCAACGCATGAATGTCAATCTGATGCACACTAGCAACTGGCCCTATTCAAATCTTTGGCTTCCTGGAAAAAGATTCAAAGACACTTTAATCCTTGTGAAAGAAATATACAAAAGGTGTGTTTGAAAAAAAGATAATGATCTGGTTTACAGGATTTCATCATAAGCTGACATATGTTAGAGAACCATTGAAAAACCACCACTGCAGTACTGGACAACCGGCTGCTTTATCAGCATAATTTAGAACTAACTCTTCAGCAGTACGCCCCCACCCCACTGCCTGGGGTCGTACCCAGGGTCCTGTGGTTACAAGGCGAGCTAGCTTGTTGGTCATTTAGTCAGCCATTGGCCAGCCCATGCATTTCAACTACTCTCAGGTTTTCCAATGGTTCTCAAACTGATTTCAACTCATCATCATGAAATCCTGTAACCAATCAAATCAAATCAAATCGCTGCAGACCAATACTCGGATAATCTAGTTTCATCAATTTCAGGCTCTCATCAGGGTTTGTTAGTTGAGACAGTGTTTTTTCATGTGTTGTGTGTTGTTATCCCTTGTTGATTCATATCTTTTCTTTTTTTTTCTAATTTAGATTTATGTACAATAATTCAAAGGGCAAATAATCTTTTTGAAATTATGCAAACATGGAATAGCATAGAAATGAACAGAAGTCAGCTGATACATATATTGACTATTCACTTTTATCTGGCTCATGAGTACTTGTCAGTAAGTAAATTATTAACTGTTATTTAATGAACTTCATTATTATTATTATTGTTATTATTATTGTGATTGATTACTAGTTTCTTACTATTATTGTAGGGAGACGAATTGTTTGGAAAATTCCATATTATAGAAAATCAAAACAAGTGGTGATTCAGCGAAGAGACTCTTTTCAACAACAAATTTATTTGAAAATTCCCATTCAGTCATAGAAAAGAAAAGGCGTTTAGCAAAGAGTTACTCTTTTCGGCGATATCATTCTCAAGCTGTACAAACCGCAAATTTATAGTAATTTTTCTTGGCAACAAAAGGAATATTTCCAAAGATGTGTTAATGCAATTGTCAATTTTTTTGACAACAAATTACGTAATTTAGAAGGCGGTAATCGGTTAGAAGCTAAAATAAAGTTACAAAAGTAGGTTGGGTGACGTAATCTAATTGCTAGGGTTCAATGAAAAATGAATGAGAGTCAAGTTAATAAGCTGAGTAGAATTCACTTAAAAATAAACGAAAATGGAGTTAGCAACAGTCGTCATGAGGGTATAGATTTAATAGAGGGTGGGGGTAGAAAATAATGCAGTTAAGAAACAGACAAACAAAGAAGAAAGAGGTAAGACAAAATTACGTATTTGGTGTTAAGATAGATCAGGACCATTGTAGATTTAGTGACTGAACAAACTTCTTTTGTATGCAGAGTTCAGGATTCAATATGTGAATTGCCATTGCTTTTGCAGTTTGAAGAAGTTTAATTCGTACTCTTTTGGCAAGATTCCCATGTATTGTGTAGATAACTGAGAAGTTGTTTTGTGGGTTTGCTTGGTGTCCGGATTCGACCAAATGTTCTAGGATAGAGCTGTGGCGGGGGGATCTTCTTTCTCTTTTATAAAACCATGAAGGTAAGTGTTCGCTGATTCGTTTGGATAGCAAACGCTGGGTACGGCCGACATAGCTAGCTCCACATGAGCAGGTGAATTGGTAGATGCACATTAATGAGGCCCCCAGTGGAATTTATTTTCAATTTTTTAATTTATTATCAAGCTATACAATCGTATATACATATGGTTTTTAAGAAGTTATATCCGATGAGGGAATTGAATCATAGGTGTGAATGCATAAAATAATAATAGTAATAGTATGAAATGCAATTAAAACTAAAATGTTTGTGATTACAATCATAGTTAAATGTCAAGTGGCAAAATAATCAGTTGCTGCTGCTACTGGATTCAACATAGAACTTGGCACCGAAGTGCAGCAGTTCGATTTGCCACGTTCCAAAATAATCAGTGTCAAATATAGAATAATTCATAGGATGTATAGAACTTGGAAGGGGTGTGCAATTATCAATGTGCGTTTATCCATTCACCTGCTCCTCTGGAGCTAGGTATATGAGTCGTTTGACTCAAGTCTTGTCCAAGAGGGGGGGGGGGGCTAGAATACTATCCTGCATGGTGGTTATAAAGAGTTGGAAGTGGAGCTGTAACAAGCGCGATCATTGAATTTCTGGTCGATTATGATCACCCTATCTCTCTCTACAGTCTCCGCCTTTAAAGTCATCTACAAGGCGAAAAGTAATTTGCCCGCATCACCACGTATCCGACTCATCTGTATTGCTGAAGCCATCTTTGGCAGTCGAAATAGAAAAGTCGGATCTCTGTGTACAGAAAAAAAGTTCGTTCAACCCCTCCAACTTTTATGGTCTTAATCCCTCTATGCTAAAGTATGGTAATCCCTAATCATATTTTAGATCTACCAATTCTATCCTTTTGTCTACTCAATTTGTATACTTTTCCTTTATAACGTCAATTGTTACTATTACTATTCTCACTTTAAACTGTCCGCGGTATTATTTCACTTGTTCCACTTGTCATTCTAAATCAATTCTTTTTTACAACGTTAAATTATGTTACAAAATTCACAATATTGGGTAACGTTTTAATTTTATTCAATTAGCCTACTAATCACATAATTGCACACCCTTTCCAAGTTCTATCCATCCTATGAATTATTCTATATATGACACTGATTGTTTTGCCACTTGACATTTAACTATGATTATAATCACAAACATTTTAATTTTAATTGCATTTCATACTACTATTGTTATTATTATTTTATGCATTCACACCTATGATTCAATTCCCTCACCGGATATAACTTCTTAATAAAAGCCATATATATACGATTGTACAGCTTGATGATAAATTCGTTGTTGAAAAGAGTCTCTTCGCTGAATCACCATTTGTTTTGATTATCTATATGTTACAATGGGAATTTTCCATGAATTCTATATGTTATAAGTTTATTTTAAATATCGCACAGTGATGATGATGCAGTATTATTAACAACTAGATGACAAGGTATCGAGCATCAATTATTCCCCACTCGTAATCATATCAATTCTAGTAACACTGTTTCACAATTTGTCTCACATATATATTTTCTCTCTATTCTGTTTCTCCAAATTCCCTTTGTTGTTTATTGCCACTTTCTATATCTCCGGTATAGGCAATGAGGTGCTCCATTCCGATTGCATGTGTGTGGTGGTGCTGAGTCGATAAACGAAGCTTCAGTAATTAACCTCTCTTTCTCCTCCTCTACCTAACTATATTACTTTCTAATAGTCTCATCCCACCCACCTTATTGTGTGTGTGATTACATGCAAGTGAATGCATTGCAATGGTTGAGCTCTGTTTTTTCTAGGTTATTTAGCTTATTAGGGTCAATCATACTACGTCTAGCTAAACTTTTATTCTCCAGTAATCTTATTGACCTCGACCTACGAGTTTAATTATATATTATATTATTTTTCTTAATTGGATTTGTTTTTACAAGTTTGACCACGGATTGGTATTAGTTAAAGAACCATTGAAAACCAGGGAGTACTGGACAGCTGTTTCATCCTAGTGTGGGAATCATCGGCAGTACGCACCCACAAAAACAAATTTAATCCTTACAAACCAGCTATTGAAAGCTAATCTGCTGCTCCCCTGTCACTTGCTACAAGACTGAGTTTCTTGGAATTCTAGTGAGAAGTCTTTATCAATGAAGTCCATCCAGTCAAGTGTGCGAGGATGGATTTCTCACTGATGACATTGGTTGGTGGTCGCGCCAAAATCACGAATTGGTAAAAGTTAGAATTCATGGACCGGCCACTAAATCAGGTCCCAGTGGCTAAATGGTATACAAGCTAGCTTGCCTTGTAACTGGAGGGTCCTGAGTTCGGACCCTGGCAGTGGGTGCGTACTGCCGATGATCCCAAAACTAGGCTGATGAAACAGCTGTTCAGTACTCCAAAACTGGTTTTCAGTGGTTCTCTAACTGATATCAATCCGTGGTCAAACTCGTAAAAATAAATTTAGTCCTTACAAACCAAGTAAACCAAGTTTCGAACCCACATAAAAGCAGTGACTGACTGGCTGACTTAATAATTGTGTTGAAAATCCTATTCTTGTTCTTTCTGCTGAGGCGTAGTGCAGAAGATTTCCAAACTGATTCCAGATTGATGAAGGTGTATCTTGCCTTCCCGATTCTGGTTTCCACATCCTTCTTTCAGTGCTATTGTCTGTAGTTGAAACGATACTTCCTAGCCACATAAGTGAAGTAGAGTAACCTCTGTCAAATTTACTCATAACATATCAAAGTGTATAAACGTTTTCTTCGGAACGCGCCTTTTCGTTGATGAGAATCAAATCTTTCTGTATATTTCTATTAGTTGGAGGATTTCATCATAAGCTGACATCAGTTAGAGAACCATTGGAAAATCAGCTGGGAGTACTGCCAGACAGCTGTTTCGTCAGCCTAGTTTGAGACTCTTCAGCGGTCTCAGGGACTTAAGGGTCTATGAGCTGGCTGGCCCTGTAACCAGAAGGTTGTGGGTTCGGACTCCGGTAGGGGGTGGGTGTGTACTGATGAAGAGTCGCAAACTAGGCTGGCAAAACAGCTGGCTGTCCACTACTCTCAGATGGTTTTCCAATGGTTCTCTAACTGATGTCAGCTCATGATGAAATCCTCCAACCAATCAAACAAAAATCCCTACAAAACTAATACTTGAAAATGTATTTCTACTAATTTAATTATTTTCCCTTATTATTATTATATTATTATTATTATCTCTAATGGAAATTCTTGTTCCTCTTCTTTTATTTAGAAGTTTAAAATGAATCTAACCTCATCGTGTATTAAAACGAAGACATTAACGACACAGAATTTAATCCATCAAGCTTCGGCTATTCTCTTGTCTCTTACAATTCATTTAATCAATTGGATTAGTTCAACTACTGAAGTGACTTCAGAAACTGCGTCATCTTCATCATCAGGTGATGTTGGTGATGATGAGTGCACTTCAAATACGTCGAATATTATAAAAAGCCCCGATGTTATTAATAACAGCAATATATAATAATAATAATGATGATAATGATAGTGATAACGAAATCAATAATCCAGTTGATATAAACAATGAAAGTATCACTGGTGTGTTGTCTTCTTCACCTTCCACTACTCCACCTTCTGAGCTTCCAATTACTCATCATCATCATACTGATGATCAACAGTCAAATATTCAATTATATTATAAAGAGGAGTCAGTGATTGCATTGAATTTATTATTTCTATGGTTACGATCAACAATTGCTAGTAGTGCTAATGCCGGTAAGTTTAATTAATCGGTGGTGGTGATTAATTGTGTAATGAGAAATTATTTTATTATTATTATTGGATTTAACTATTGGTTTGTAGGGATTTGATTGATTGGTTACAGGATTTCATCATAAGCTGACATCGGTTAGAGAACCATGCCGGTAACAACTGCTTCCAGTCTAGTCGCTATCCCAGCAATCTTTCTGGCATGGAAGGACCTGCAGAAACATTAGTTTCACCCACTTCAGCTTGTTGGGTCATTGCAGTATACAATCCCGATTACCACGTTGAGGTAGCAACTAACGATTGGCCATATCTCGTTTGGCAGTTACCAACTTACTCCACCTCTGTCTCAGTAGACGTGATATCCAGCTTGCTGGTTGTCGACAAAAGGACGTGAATACCGATTAGCAGTCACTTCGCTCCGTCCTCCTGTATGACTGGCTGGCTGTGAGCGAGACAGTGCTATTAAAAGTGGATGGCATTAAAAACCTGGTTAGCTGGCTGTCTTTGACCATAGATGTCTGCGTTCTATCTCCCATGTGTGTTAGGCGGTGGTATAATGGAGTGAGTAATATTCAAGAAGTTAGGCTTCGATTGAGTGCTGGGTGAGTTGGAAAGAAAATCAATCGATGAGGTTGTGAAGTTACATCGATTGAGAGAGATGGTTAGGGCATGTGTTATGCATTCCTAGCCTAGCCTAGCCATCGCCTTCCTCGATGGTCAATGTTAGCTGACTGATATAGGATCGATCAAGTTGTAGGAGAGCTAGTGTCGGTGAAACGAAAACATGGCTTCATCAGTCAATGGAATGCATGACAGTTAGTTTAAGCCAGCCACGTAGGGCTTCCAGCGTGCTTGGAGTGGTTGTTCGGGATGGTAAAAACCAACCAATGATGGTGGCTGGCGACAGTTGGTGGTATGGCTCAAAATCCTCGTTCTCATTGGCTGGTGCAGATGTATTCACTCTTTTTTGTGATTTGTCAGTTATGTCCAATAAAACTCTATTGTTCTTCCCTTTTGTCTATTATCTCTCTCCCTTTGAATCTGTCTTCACTCTCTTCTCTTGGTTTGTGTGGTAAATGGAGGGCGAGTGGCAGGTGGAACTACTGCACACATATGCGAAGTTCTATGTTGAAACCAGTCAGTCAGTCAATCAATCAAATTTGAAGCACACTTGGTATTGTATACTTACTTTCAAATTGTATCGGTATTTTTTTTTATTTGTTGTACAATATACAATGCGGTCATTCCGTATTCGCTCTTCTTTCTTTTCTTTCTAGGAATGGAATCATCCTTTACACTAACTGATTCAATCTTTCAATGGATAACACCTGCATTCAATAAAAAGACAATCGATTATTTAAATCATTTACTTCATGTATATAAAGATGTATTAACTTCTTATACTGTAGAAAATGTTAACAAGAACAATGAACAGTATTCAACTGAAATATCTATCTGTAATGATAACAATGAGAACAAGAACAACAACGACAACAACACCGAAGTAGCGATAATAATAATAATGATAATGTACAATCGACTGTTTCTGACGCCAATGCTGTAGACCATGATGAAGTCAATGGTGGTTTGAATATTTGTGATAACGATGATGTTGGTGGTGATGGGGATGGGGATGATGATATGATGATGATGACGTAACTGGCCTTTTTTCCAATCATCAAAAGGAGGATTATGCTTTTTCTATAAATTGGTCTCGTTTGATGAAAATTCCAGAAATTGTTATTCTACAAGTATGTGTGGTTTTACTTTCTACTGCTTAGTTTGTATACCCCATGTCCATACCTCTTGTGAGATCCTTTTATTCGCTTGATTATAGTTGTGTGTTTAAATATGACGTTAAAGAAATCATTAGGAAATTTTATTATGAGATTTACAACGGAAGAAAGTTCCATGAAGCTTTTGAATTTATCGAAAAGACGAGTATACAGTGAGTGGACTGATGAAAGCATTGAAAGATCTGGACTTTGGAAATCTATGGGGGAAAATCAACAAGATTTCATCATGAACTGACATGGGTTAGAGAAGCATTGGAAAACCAACACTCGAGTACTGCCAGACAGCTGTTTCATCAGCCCAGCTTGGGACTCTTCAACAGTACGCACCCACCCCACTGCCAGGGTTCGAACTCACCACCTTCCGGTTACAAGGTGAGCTAACTCGTAGACCATTCAGCCAGCCACTGAGACCCGCCAATCTAATGGACAGTCTGTCCATGAATTCCAACTTGTGCCAACCCACGATATAGCGCAACTGGCACTATCCAATGTCATCCCTGGAGAGTATTTTGCCCCGCCCCCTCCCACTTGGTATACCCCACTGATCACGACTTCCCACTAGAACCTGGATCGCTACCTACCTGAATAAGGTCAGTCGCTAGTGAGCATCAGATTGATATTCAAGTGTTGGTTTACAGGTCGGGTGTGAGGACAGATACTCTCCAGGGATGACATTGGCTAGTGCCAGTTGTGCGTGAATTAACAGGAGTTGGAATTTATGAACTGACTGGCCATTGGATTGGTTGATCCCATTGAATAGCTTAATGGTCTACTAGCTAGCTTGCCTTGGAACTGGAAGGTTGTAGGTTCGAACCCTAGTGGTGGGGTGGATACATGCTGCTGAAGAGTTCCAAACTGGGCTGACGAAACAGCTGGCTGTTCAGTCCTCCAAGGTTTTTGAATGGTTGTCTAATCGATGTCAGCTCATAATGAAATCTTGTAGCCAATCAAATGAAATCCCAGCAAACCAACAAGCTGGAAGAGTTAAGTGGCGGTGTCCGAGATTGATATGGATGAGGTTGTGTGTGCAGTTGATGAAAGCTTATAGACAATCATGTCGTCGTCAGCTATAAAATACTTCAGAGAACAGGGTGAAATATCGATGGTTTGTTGAAGCTCTCCATCTCATTCGGAACCCAAGGGAGTAGTAATAATACTCGAAATCACCTTAACATTTATATGAGTAAATAATTGGTATAACATACGCATACTCAGGGATTACTCCACTGTCATATGTTATCACAGTATTTCCTAATTCAAAGGTTATCGTTGTTCTCTACTTTCGAAGTTACTGTTCTTTATAATCTTAGTGTATACTCTTCATTTTGGAGTGTACTTTTATGGCGTATATTAAAACACTGTAGTGCACTAGATTTGCTTAGTAGAGATGACGACACGGAAAGTTTATTTAGAAGTTTAAATGCTCATCTCTAGTGCTACATTTTGATTCAAAGACCCTAAGCACTTGACACTTCAAACGATGGGTCTCATTAATTCTTAATTCTCACAGTGTACTTCACAGTCTGGACGTCTCATTATCATTAGATATAACTGACAGACCGAATCCTCAACTGTAACAGTAATAACCCAGTTATCCACAAAAGAAACTGTGTGCAGACTTTGTTTAAAAGAATTCAAACACATGCTATAGGACTCTGATGTTGAAGAGAATCAAAGGAAAATACCTACCACTAACTGTCTTCAAAAAGAATGGATATCCCCCTCACAATTTCACTGAAAGGTATTTAAACGTGAGTCATAACACCAACACCAAAGACAATAAGAACATTTACTTTATTATACATAAAAGATATTTCTGAAATAACAGCTAGAATATTGAAACCGTTTGAAACAGATATAGCACATAAGTTAGCCAGTACAGTCACTTCGTTCGATATTGTGCAGAGCAAAAGATCCAACAGAAAAAGGAGAAAATAAATTGCATGAACTGAGATAAATATTGCATCAGTGAAAGTAGGCGTCTCCTTCGTGTCCAAATCCAAGAATATAAATCAGCTGTGAAAAGGCACGATATGTATTCTTTCATATCAATGCATGTAGATAATTATGGACACCAATTTGATGATTGGGATAATATAGAAATTTTAAATAGGGGAAACACCGAAAATACAGTTAGGGAATTTCTAGAAGCCTGGTACTCAAGTGAATCAACGATTAACAAACACAATAATTACTTTAGACCAAATTTACCAGTTAATAAAAAGTAAATCGCCTGATAAGAAAGTTCAAATCCCAAATCAATAAAGATGACCGGTAGAGACGTAAATTAAACAACCAGTCACTCCGACAATAGCTATCAGTAGGGAGATACAATTATATTACCATTCATGGAGAATTCAAATCAGTTCATTTCATACTAAAGTCTGCACTGAAGATGTTTTCTAGATGGGGGACAACGAAAGCTTCGCAATTATATCAACCAGCTCAGAGAACACAACCACTAAATCGAAACCATCCACCTAAGCTACAAATCTTCTACATTAGTATATATATATGCGTCAGTCTTTAAGGTTGTAGAAAGATACTAAGTGCCACTGTTTAAAATGTAAGCACTAAGTTATGAATAGTTCTCATTCGTACTCCGGTAGAAAAGGTTCCTTTTCCATTCTTTTCAACATCATCTATGGTGGTGTTACTTTATCTAGTCCCTGTAAGTTGTGGTGGTGTGAAATCAATGGTTTTCAACAATTAACATACACACACACTGTGAATGACGTCCTGTATATGCGTAGGTCGATGAGTACTAAAGTAGAACTCTCTCTCCCTCTCTCTCTGTGTGCCTTTCTTTTCACCACAATATTACGCAATCCAACTGTTTTATTATTATTGTTTCCTTTAATTCCTAGAGGAACATAGGGCTTCAGCCGTGCGTTTCCATTGCGTTCGGTTCTCTGCTAGAGTCTTCACATGGCTCCAAGTCTGCCCACACGTTTTCATCTCCTCTTCACATGACCTCCTCCAAGTCACCCTTGCACTGACGACAAACTCGCCGCTTCCCTTTCGGGTTCCACTCGAGCAATGGCTTGTCTAGTGATGTCACTTGATGGTTTCCTCAGAGTATGGCTAATCCATCTCCATTTCTTCCTGCCTATTTGTTTCACAATCGGTTCCTGGTTGGTTCGCTCATTGCCAGAGATCTCTGTTGCTGATCTTTTCTGGCTGGCCATCTAATCTTGAGTATTGAGCGAAGACAACTGTTAATGAAGGTCTGTAGTTTGTTTGAGATGCTCTTTATGACGCGCCAAGTCTCTGATCCATATAGTAGTAGTACTGACTTCACATTGGAGTTGAAAATCCGGATCTTATTTTTGATGCTGAGTGCTGTTGACCTCCACACAGACTTGAGAGTAGTGAAAGCTTGTCTTGCTTTTCCGATTCTTGCTTTGATATCCTCGTCAGTTCCGCCTGTAGTTGAAACGATGCTTCCTAGGTAGGTAGGTAAAAGAGGTTGTTTCTTTCAGGTTCCTCCCATTTATGCTGATTGTTGTCTGTTGTTGTTGTTGCTGTTAGTGGTGTTGCCCAGGAATCTTCATCACCTCTGTTTTCTCTATGTTCACCTGAAGTCCTATCTTTAATGCTTCTTCTGCCAACTTGTTGCTTTTCATTTGCATATCTTCCAGTTTGTGGGAAATCAGACATATATCATCGGCGAAGTCCAGATCCTCCAAGTTTTTTTCTGTGAGTCCATTTTATGCCTGTTTCCTCATTGCCCGCTGTTTGTCGCATTATCCAGTCTACCACCATCAATCAGGAAAATCATTGGCGATAGTAGGCAGCCAGCTTGTCTTACTCCTGTCCTCACTTCGAAGGATTCCGTAAGTTTCCGGTTGTGGATTACTTGGCATGCAGCAACTGTTTTACTTTAATAATTTTACTATTTCGTCTAAAGTTTAATAAAGTCATGTTCATTATTATTCCATTTTCTAACAGGGATTTAAACCTCTTCATGTGCCAACACAACATCACCTATGCTGTTCATCAACGAATTACACTCCTGTACATTCATTTCCTTTTGATAATAATTTTTGTAATAAAAGCCTACAAGAGTTATCGACTGCTAACGCGGAGGAAATTTTGTCCAATCCACGCATCAGACAAAATAATGTGTTGTATGACAGTAAAACAGAACGTGTACTGTGTTTGTTAACATCTGTTAGGTTAGTTTTCTTTTTTTACTTGTTATTTGAAGTCTGTTTTAATTGTTATTATTATTATTATTATTGTTCCCCTGGGTGCCGAGTCGAACATACTATGCAGCCAGACTTATTTTCATACAGAAAACCAGATCTATGTTGTCCTGTGAACCCTCACAGCATCCGAACGATAGTGCCACATTCCACTGTGTTTACCAATTTACATGTATGTGTGGACGCACGTGCATAGAGAGGCCCCATTATTAGTCTTTGCAGATTACGGCTACAGAACATATCCCAAAGAAGTGACTGCAACAACAAATCAAATCACCGGATTCAGTTGTTCCCAGAAATAGATATCCAACATCATCCATAGTAACGCGCACATCATAGCTACGGATCACAAGGTTGATTTCAATAATACCTTTAAGCCATATATATATTTTTATTTTATTTTTTTATTTTGATTTACAGCTTGATTCCACACCGTATTTTCAGTACAAGTGTGGAATTTTCAGCATGGATATCGGTAGCTCAAATTCTGGCCGACCATAGATATCGGGTGTGCGCCGGCAGGGGATCGAACCCCGGACCATGTGCATGGTCGGCGAGAGTCCTAACCAGTGTGCCACCGACGCAGGTCACACACTTAAATTCGTTGAAGCTTTGGCCATAAAAAGGCCTGAACCCATCGTATGTGTCCGAAAATTATCCGTTCTTACTTTAAACCTGCCTTAGTAATCCAATTTAGAACCAAGGTTCAATTTACTTAGTGATCTTCCTTCTTTTATTTACCCTAAGCCCTTACGTCATCCTCCTACCCCTTATCTATGACCTTCGCCTGTGCATAATTTGACCTGTATTGTAATAGTTCATGCTCTCTTGCTTTCTGTATGGCTGTCTATGACAACTACGTGTCTGTGTATTTTTTGATTGGACACCAATCAGTGACTTGTGTGATGTGTCTAGTCCTATCTTTGGTGCAGACTGAATTCTATCAGTCAAGTTTGCAATGTGGCCACTATGCCACTATGTAGCTCGCCATCACGGTGTACATTGAATTGTTGATATTAGATGGTTGGAGGTAATCGGCCACAGGAAGCCTTGAACGTAGGTTTCATGCTAGATGGCACTCACCAGCAAGGCGTATATGCAATCTTGAAATAACTCATCTCCCCTCTGAGATTCGAACTGACTGATAGAATTCAGTCTGCACCAATGAAAGGACTAGATACATCACACTAGTTACTAACTAGTATCCAATCAAAAATATCCAATACAGTCCTACAGGAGGTCAATCGCGAGCCCGAATAGCTCAGTGTTGACGTCTCTGACTGCAGCACTGGCTGGTGACGCGGGTTCGAATCGTAGAAGGAGAGACATGAGTTCCTTCAAGTTGGTTGCAGATACGCCTGCCTTGCCGACTGTCTAGTGATTGCCAACTAGCACGAAACCTAGGTCAGTTGAGATTTCCTGCCGATCGCCTCCAGCCATCTAATACGTGAGGGTGTGTGTGTGATCGGAATGTCGGAAATGTGTTGCGCACATGCATTACACGTTTCAGATAAACTTCGTCTTGTTATTCTTTTATCGAGATTGCATCTTTCATTTCTTTGTATATTATTTGCTATATTGGTTGGTTGTCAATCTCCTTTTTTACTAATGCTCCTTCTACATTTCAATTATGACATGCTTTTATTTCTTGTATTCCAACTGCTTCCGGTGATCCTAGATGTATAGCTCATTACTTTCCATCTTTAATCAATTGGATTCCACATTCAAAAGATGAACCTCACAGCTCTACAGAAGTTTCATATTTCCATGGTTTATTCGATTGTAACAACCGTAATACTCCTAATCTAATGGATATTTTTGAAATACATCAAGCTGAAGACGCCACGAGTGACAATAATGACGGCAGTATTAATAGTACTAAGGACAGCTTCAATAATAAACTTGACGTCGTAGCATCACCTCATAAACACCCTGAAGATCATCTTAACATTCAGGAATCTGATTCGAAATCCATCACCGCTTCTGACAATGATGCTGCTGTATGCATTGAAACTAATCTTGGAAAATCGGATGCAGAATCTAATGAGAAGAATGATGTGGAAGGCGATGTTGCTGTTCCCCAGGTAAGTAGAATGCTGAATTGAAATCATTTAACCACTATTTATTTAAATGCAAACTTGTTACACATTATGAACACCAACCCACCCAACTCTTTTCAAAGATGGTGGTGAGACTTTAGTCAGGTAACTGACTGGATTGTTCCTCACTGAAGTATGGGAAAGTGTTGAATGAAGCCATTACCATTGTGTCCATCTTTAAAAATGGCCTACATAATACATGTGACAGTCATTTTAGGAGGGGGGGTGTTAGTTTTCTACCAGTCAGTTGCGTCTAAAATATTGGTTGTTCGTCTTGCTTTGCAGGCTGTGCAAAACACGTAAGGAACTGATTCGCGTGGGAGCAGGTGGTGGATGCATCGATCATGTGTTGTTTATCCTTCATCAGTTGCTAGAACGCTATCACTCGTATAACAGGCCAGCAGTCGTATTTCTTGATATCAGGATAGCCTTTGATTCTTTGAACGGGCAAGTTAAACTTTAAGCACCACTAGCTATCAGTGGAGTGTGGCCGCACCGATGACCTTGAAACTCTCACTGAGTAAGCTAGTGAGACCTGGCAAATAATGTTGTCTTCATCAATAAAATATGCTCATCGAAGTGTTATGCTATTAAATGGGATATCTGGCAAGTTTCACCTTAGGTTTTTTGGGAAAGATTAAGTTACGCTTTAAGCCAAGAACAAGTTAGGGTTTGGTTAACCTAATAAAGGCGACATCAGGGTCGGTTCGAGTTAGATTACAGTTAGTTTAAGCATATTTTCACGATAGGGTTAGGTTCAGGAAAGATTAAGGTTATTGTTAGGGTTAGAAGACTTAAATAGTTACATGCATAGAATGTGGTTAAATTTCTCTGTTGATATAAGAATAGAACTTGTGCATTGTTGTAGAGTATAATTCCATTGTGGGTAAAATTTATTTTGATAAAGTCTCATGGCGTAATATTTACTGATGACGTTTCGAACACACTTTATTGCTCAGTAAATATTACTATATAACAGTATGAGGCTTTATCAAAATAAATTTTACCTACAATGGAGTTATACTCTGTTGATACTCCAACCTAAAACTGAGAGCTACTTTTATCACATGTGAGGGAAAGGTATCCTCTGTAACACTTTTATCCAGTTTTTATGCATAAATATATGTGTTCCATACACAAAAATGCCTCCTTCACGTGATTGGTGCATTCGAGGCCACTGGCTGACTGGCAGCTAGTAGTGGTGCTTAAAGTTTAACTTTCCTCTTTGAACGGAACTACTCTCTAGAACTGTCTGTTAGGGAAAGGTTTCCCCAAAAGCGTTTGTTAATATCCTGAAAATTCTATACAAAAACACTTCAGATCGAGTGACAGCGTTGCCCAATCTCACCATTTCTCTTTAACTTTGCTATCTATGACATTCTGGAGACAGATTCATATATATATATATATATATTGCCCACGTGACTGACAGAATTCTATCTGCACCAAACAAAGGACTAGATACATCGCACTAGTTACTAACTAATGTCCAATCAAAGTATCCAATACGGTCCTACAGGGGTCCAAATGTGAACCCGAATAGCTCAGTGGTAACATCTCCGACTGTTGTACTGTTGGTGACGCGGGTTCAAATTTCAGAAGGAGGAACATGAGTTCCTTCAAGGTGGTAGCAGATACACCTTGTTGACTGACTCGGTGAGTGCCAACTAGCACGAAACCTAGGTCAAGTGAGGCTTCCTGTGGCCGATTACCCCCAGCTATCTAATGTCAACAATTCAAAGTTCACCGTGATGGTGAGCCACCTAGTGTGTCATGGTGGCCACATTGCCAACGTGACTGATAGAATTCAGTCTGCCCCAAACAAAGGACCAGACACAATACACTAGTTACTAGCTGGTGTCCAATCAATATATATATATATATATATATGATGGGAGAATATTTCAATGTAAACTCATTGCTGTTTACTTCTTTATATATCCAAGGCTGATCATCCTTCTGAATCTATTCCCTGTGATACTACAACAACAACAACTACTACTACTACTGCTACTACTACGACTACTGAATCATCAACAGTTCCTGTAGACCAACAAGAACCAGTGGAAATTACTACATCCGAGGAAAAAACTGAAAAACCCAGCTTACCATCAGCATCATCACCATCATCTACAGAAATGTCAGTTTCAAAGGATACTCCTGTAGCAGTGTCACAACCATCATCTTTTCCTTCTTCACTGTTTCCACATATTGGCTCATCTGCTGGACTAATTATGAATGCTGAATTGGCTAAATTTATTCAAGAGCAAGCCATTCAGGTATGTTTCCTATTGACTTATTGATTTATTTTGCTTGTTTGTCTTCCTATACATCCGTTTTATGATGTAAGAGTTTAGCCATACTATACAGCCGTGTTTTTCTTTATATATAGAATCATTTGCATTTCTCTTATGATGATTCATAATTTATGTAATAGTTATATTTTTTTACGAGCTTATCGTCGATTGATATCAGTTAGAAAACCATTAAAAACCAGGGAGTACTGGACAGCTGTTTCATACTAGTTCGGGAATCATCGGCACCCACTGGGGTTCTAGTGAGAAGTCGTGACGAGTGAGGTCCATCGAGATGTCACGTGTAAGGATGGATGCTCCACCGACGACAGTGGTTGGGGTCGCGCTGAATCACAATTTAGTAGAAGTTAGAATTCGTGAGCCATTGAATCGGGTCCTAGTGGCTGAATGGTATACGAGCTAGCTTGCCTTGTTACCGGAAGGTCCTGGGTTCAAACCTTTGAGTTGGGTGCATACTGCCGATGGTTCCCAAACTAGGGTGAAACAGCTGGCTGTCCAGTACTCCAGTGCTGGTTTTCAATGGTTCTCTAACTGATTCAATACGTAATCAACTCGTAAAAGCATAACTAACCCTTAAAAACCAAACTATAGGTAATAATTATATTCCAATGGGATTTATCGGTGTGGTTCAGTTGGTTAGAATCGTAACCAACTACTCACATGGTGCGCATCCGATTCTCAGCGCTGATGTACTCTTGCGTAACTGGTAGTTAGCCAGGTAAAACGGGATGGTGAAGAGGTTTGGTGTGTAGGGCAAGTGACTCTTTCCCCCCCCCCCCCACCTACTCTGTAAAAACAAACTCATTAACACCGCTACTAAAAGTTTGAAAACTGAAGGCTGGCAGCCGCCCACTCGGGACGTAAATGAGTGAAAACATATTCTAGATTCCAGATTTTTAGTATAAAATAATGATATCATCATTCTATTTCACAGGTTCTCATCAGCTGCTGCCTACCACTACCTGAAATTACAATGGCTATGAAAGAATGACAATAATGCACTTCAATGTTCTAATGGTAGTAGTAGAGAAAACATTATTAAATCAATGCATCCGAAATACAAGCATTACAAATGATTTAGTTTAAGTTACCATTAATTTATATGCTTCCAAAATCGAAAAAAGGGGGGTTTGCGGGTGGAGAGGAGAAGTTAGAAAAAAGAAAAACCTAATAAACAGTGTTATGTTGTAAGTTCATATAACAACTCAAGAAGGTTAAAGTTCATTAAAATACTGGAAACTTGCTCAGTAAGCTGAAATCACTAATATGGGTGACCATTGAGAACCAGTATTGGAGTACTAAACAGCTGTTCCATAAGCCTAGTTTGGGAATCATCGGCAGGGTTCGAACCCAGGAACTTCCGGTTACAAGGCAAGCTCGTATACTGTTCTGCCACTGGGACCCGATATTTAGACAATTCAATAAATAAATTAGGTCAAGTCTGAAAAAATTACGTAAAATTCAAGGTAGGTAAAGTGGACAGATAATCAGAGTTTAAATAAATGCCATAAAAGTACGAAGGAAATGGAAAATAAGAAAGAGTGGGAGGGTTTGAATTAGACTTTACCTAGGTAAGTAAAGGAGAGACAAAGGTAGTACAAACTTCTTTTGTATGCAAAGACACTAGGATTGTTCTCTCGAATTAACTCCCATAGCTTCGGCTACGTGTAAAAGGCGAATTCAAAGGTTTTGATAATCCCAGCAACCGGTTTCTAGTTGAGTTTACTCATGGACATCCTGTATAGAGAAAAACAACTATGAAAAAACCAGGTGAACCACAGTCGCTGGTACTACGACGATCGCAGATGTTACATAGATTTGTGAATTATATTCAGATGGACCCTAAACTGAGAACTTATTAAAGGGGGAAGGTGTTAGGAGAGCAACATAACATTGTTAGCTGTGAAATCATGGTTGGTGCAATCAATTAGATATTTGAAAAAAATTGAGCGAAGAATATTCGTTTCGAGAAATTCCTCTTTCGGCCCTACAATTATATATATATTATTATTAATATTGTTATTATTATTTCCTTTAATTCCTAGAGGAACATAGGGCTTCAGCCGTGCGTCTCCATTGCGTTCGGTTCTCTGCTAGAGTCTTCACTTGGCTCCAAGTCTGCCCACACGTTTTCATCTCCTCTTCACATGACCTCCTCCAAGTCACCCTTGCACTGACGACCAACTCGCCGCTTCCCTTCCGGGTTCCACTCGAGCAATGGCTTGTCTAGTGATGTCTAGTGGATAACGCTTTGGCTTTTGAAACTGGGCATTGGGTTCGAGCCCCAGTGGGAACATCATCACTCACTGCGGAATGGAGGTATATCCAGTTGACGAGCCCCACACAGGACGAAATGTGCATCCTTGATTCCACTGCTAGTCACCTTCCACCAATTAAATTCTAATTACTTGCCCAGACATCATCGAAGCATCTGCACAAGAAGCCGGCATGTCAACCTGGGACCGAGCACTTCAGTCCAATCAATCAATCGACGGGAAAATCTAAAATTGAATTAAATAATAAGGTTGTTGTTGTTGTTTTCGTAGTTGCCTCAGTTATATCTGACTTCTGTGTGTCTACCTCTCAGTGTGGGGAATACTTCCAAGTGATCAGTTGGCCATAGTGTTGTGACTCGAGGGCCAATCAACAAATCGCTAACACTCCGCTAAAACATACTTAGCGACGGGGTATTTAAGTCAGTGCCGTCACAACACTGTAGTCAACTGATCACTTACTTGGAGGTATTTCCCTCTCTGAGAGGTAGACACACCGAAGTCAGATATAACTGAGACAACTACGACAATAACAGCAACTTTATTATTACTCACAATCCAGAGCAAATTATCAATTTATACACACACACATCAACGGAAATATTTAAATCATAACTAATCAATATCTACTTGATTGCATAAACCATGATTTTCCGGCTAACAATAACAGTTAGTCCGTCCTAACAATGATTGTGGAGTCTTTAATTGCTCCGAGTTAGGTAACAATATCAGGAAATACTGTACCTACATGAAGTAGTTGATTAATTATCTGAGTCTTTCAAGTGTTAAAAATTATTGATTTAGAATCTCAGATAATCTGATTGAATATTGATTACAATGGAGTAGTTGTACTGGACGTTTACTGCTCCCCACATCGCCTGAACTATTCCCCTATTATCTCTTAATAAGAGTTTATGTATTCACGCATGTTAACTTCTGCATGCGTCGAAAGTTGATCTATATTTTCAAAAAGATTGAAAGTGCGATCTATATATGTGTTGCAAATGTCTATTGGGCAATAAATGAACTGATTGTATCACATAAGTTTCAACTACAGGCGGACGGAACTGATGAGGATATCAAAGCAGCGAGGATCGGGAAAGCAAGGCAAGCTTTCATTTCTCTCAAGTCTGTGTAGAGATCAACAGCGCTACTCAGTATGAAAATGAAAATAAGATCTGGATTTTCAACTCCAATGTGAAGTCAGTGCTACTTACTATGTGGATCAGAGACTTGGCACCAAGTCACGGAGGGCACTTCGAACAAACTACAGACCTTCATCAACAGCTGTCTTCACTCTATACTACTCAAGATCAGGTGGTCGACCAGAAAAGATGATCAGCAATAGGAATCTCTGGCAACGAACGAACCAACCTAACAGGGACCGTTTGTGCAACAAATATGCAGGAGGAAATGGGGGTGGATTGGACTCCATATTCTGAGAAAACAAACCATCAAGTGACACCACGCGCCAGGTCATCTCTCGAGTAGAACCCGAATGGGAAGCGGCGAGTTAGTCGGTCGTCAGTCCGAGGATGACATGGAGAAAGAGGAGGTCATGTGAAGAGAAGACGAAAGCATGTGGGCAGACCTGGAGCCAGGTGAACGCGTTGGCAGAGAACTGAACGCAATGGAGACGTGTGGCTGAAGCCCTATGTTCCTCTAGAAAGTAAAGGGAACAATAATAACAATAAGCACATAAGTTGTCACAAAACAATATTTGTGTACGATTGCCCCACAAGCTTAAACTTGTTTGTTATTATTGCTAACTGCCTTTTATTTTTACTTTTTGTTTATTTCGTGTTTTGTGTACTGTTCGCTTGTGGAGTCACTAGGTGTGTCTGCCTTCCATCTCCCGTGTGTGTTAGATGGTAAGTGGTGGTATAATAGGGTGAGCAATATTGAGGAGGTGAGGCTTCAGTCGAGTGCTAGCTAAATGAGAGGGAAAATCAATCGACAAGGTTGTGAAGTTACACTGATTAAGATGGTTAGGACATGTGTTACTCATGTCTAGCCTAGCTATCGCCTGCCTTCCTCGATAAAGGGCAATATCAGCTGGCTGATATGGGATCGATCACGTTGGGAAAGAGCTAGCACGTGGTGGCCAAACGAATGTATCGCTTTATGAGTAAATGAAATCCATAAGAATTAGTTTAGGCCTGCTTGCCTGCCATACACTTAGGGAGGGAGGTGTAGACTGCCAGTGTGGTTGGGGTGGGTCCTCGGGATGACAGTAAGAACAGACCAATGACGGCAGCTGTAGAGATACGGTTAATGATATCGCTGAAAATTGTTATTAATGACAGCTTAGATGCACTCACAAAACTTGGATGTCTGAAGGAATATTCATCGCTACATTGAAATCAAATTTTTGTTTCTTTTGTTTCTCTTTCTTTTTTTCAGATGGCAGCTAGAGAACAAAAATTGAATCTGTGCAACAGTTTATTGATAAACAATAATGGTGATAATAATAATAATAATAACGAACTAATCAACTCTACTCATAATCCATATTTAAAAACTGCCTTATTGGCTACTAAAGCATTGATCAATAATACAAATAATAATACTACTACTGCTACTACTACTACTACTAATTTATCCAAACTAAGCTTAAGTGATTCCTTTAAACGAGAACTACCGCCAAGATTTGCTAAACTTTTACAAGAGAGAAAGGAAGCTATTGAAAAACAGAAAAATCAAACACAACAACAGGTAACCCTTTGTTGTTTTTTTGTTTTGTTTTGTCATGTGTTACTTACTCCTTGTTAGGAGATTCCATCACACACACACACACTCTCCAGGCACTAACTACTAAGCAAGCTGTGAATTTAGGCGCATTATTAAGATTCAAATTGTGGCTATCAATTTGGTGGCTGAAAGTTGATTCACTCAAGATAATGAATGAATCGCACTAATTAACTTTTATCCTTTTCTGTTTTTAGTAATTTGTTAAATTATTTTCCCGTTGATCGATTGTTTGATGTGATGGAAGTGCTCAGCCTTATGTTGACTTTTCTGTGCCTTGTGCAAATGCTCCGACGATATCTGGGGGTACGTACTGGTGAAGAGTCAGTCCCAAGTTAGGCTGACGAAACAGCTTGTTGTTCAGTACTCCAGTGGTGGTGTTTTCCAATGGTTGTCTCAATTCATGATGTCAATTCATGAGGAGATCCTCCAACCAATCAAAATAAAATCCCTACAAAAACCAATACTTGAAAATTAATCTGATGCGCACTAGCGACTACTGGCCCTATTCAGGTAGATAGTTACCTTGGGTTCTGGTGGGAAGCCGTGACCAGTAGGGTAAAGCAGGTCGAACCAAGAACTGGTCGCTGAACGACCGGTTGACGACAAGTCGAACGGTTCGTCCGAGGGTGACATGGACGAAGTTGTATGATAGCAATTGATGAAAGCTTATGGACAATCGCAGTGTCGGCTATTATAAAAAAAATACTGCGAACAACGACGGGGGTGAAATGCCACTGGTTTACTGAAACCTTAAGTTCCACTCGAAACTCAAGAAAATAATAATAAAACAAATATTCGTGCTTAAATTGAAACGTTCTACAATTCACCTTATTGTTGTATTATAGAAATGCGATCAGAATTTCCTTAAAAAATGATATTAAGGTTTAGTATTTTAAAAGATAAGGATATACGCAGAACTAGAGGTTCTAAGTGAGGATTTTCGTGATCCTCTGGTGTTTCAAAATTAATCATTACTAATAGCAATAGTGATGACTTAAAACTACAAAGTTAAAGTATCATGGTCTAGGAATGCGAACGCTTCAATGACCTTGAATGCATGCTTGTCGTTGGATAACGAGATCTATTATTATTATTATTATTATTATTATTATTATTATTACAGCGCTAATATGAACCCAATTCGATGATATTGGATATTTGGAGGCAATCGGCAGGAAGCTTTGGACATCACCTAGGTTTCGTGCTAGTTGGCACTCGTCAGCAAGGCGTATCTGCAACGTTGAATGAACTCATGTCCCTTCTGAGATTCGAACCTTCGTTAGTTACTAGTGTATAATCAAAATACCCACTACAGTCCTATAAGAAGTCAGTCGCGAGCCCGATTAGCTCGGTGGTTGTTATAACTGCAATGAATTAAGGTAAAACCCCGTTGCCAATTTGTTGTAACTGTAGGGGAATTAAATGAGGACGTTGTCGCCTTATTCTATCTGCGCCTGACTAATATATCTATCTGCTTCTGGTACCTTCCGATTCAGCGAACCACGCAAATATCAAAAGACAAAGTCTGGTCTGTGACTGTGTATTGTAGTACAACAACTACGACAAACTACGATGACGACAAAGAAACTTATTTAGGAAATGGTATTTATACATTTTTACAACCAATACAGACAGCTAACAGTATTTGAAATAATTGGTCGTAATAGTCAATAACAAAATGCGTGGGAAATGATGATATACCACTTATGCGAGATTAACAGTCGTTAATATAATTGAACAATAACAAAGTGCCTGGGAAATGATAATATACCATTATGCGAGATTAACAGTCGTTAAAATAATTGAACAATAACAAAGTGTGTGGGATCCTATCAGTGGTAACGTCTCTGACTGCAGCAGTGGGTGACGCGAGTTCGAATCTCAGAAGGAACATAAGTTCCTTCAAGGTCGCAGATACGTCTTGCTGATAAATGCCAACTAGCACGAAACCTAGGTGATGTCCAAGGCTTCCTGCCGATTGCCTCCAACTATCCAATATCATCAAATCAATGTGCATCGTAATGGTGGCCACATTGCAAACCCGACTGATAGAATTTAGTCCGCACCAATGAAAGAACTAGACACGTCGTACTAGTTACTAGTGTCCAATCAAAATAAATTCTATTCACCAATTTAGCAGGGAATTTTACCCAGATCAAGTTTGTAAGTATACTATTTGGACAATGGATTGACAGTGAGTGGGTGCAAATGTTCTTGTGGTGCTTTTATGTATCTGCAATGGCGTTCAGAAGCTAGTGATAGACATGTATATTTAGATGTACGCCGTGTAGGAAACGAATAATTGTTCATACTCGTAAGTTACACACTCAAGTTCATTGTTTTCTAGGAACTTTCTCTGCTGAATCAAAACTGTCTTTGATGAATATACTGTTTATGTGCCATTACTGGAGTGAACCTAACGGCTGTGAAGAAAGAAAATACCTTGGTGTCTAATGTTCAATGTTTCCAGCATTCCAGGGAATTAGCGTCCTGGAAGTTGAATACTGTAACACAGCTGTTAGGAGGATTTGGTGTGGCTGTTCATATCGATGAAACCATTCTTATAAAGAAGAAATACAACCGCGGTCGCGCTAGAGCTAACAACATTGGGGTATTTATGACACTGAACTTTAGAAGGAGACAATGGAGGTTATTTCAGATCGTAGTGCTAGCACATTTCTACCCATTATTCAAAGAATGCTTATCTGTGGCATTACTATTCGCACTGACAAATGGGCGGGATATAACCGCTTATCAGATTTGGGATATATACATCGTTGAATTAACCATTCTGATGATTTCGTCGACTCCATAATTGACACTCATATCAATTCAATCGAAAGCTTTTGGGGTAGATTGAAATATAGGATAAGATCAATAAACGGCTCGCAAAATGAGCTTATTTCCAGTGACCTTGATGAGTGTATGTATACAAATTGGTTTCAACTTAGAAACTGACACTCCTCATTATAACTAGGACATATTTTTTCTGGTCATATCAGAGAAAAATACCCTATTTAATGAGCTTTCATGATTTTCTTGTAAATAAACGTCATTTTGTGTGTGTGTGTGTGTGTGTGTGTGTAAGAACACTTCTTTTTATGATTGGTCGACTCAAGGTCACTTGTGCGTTCGTCGCATCCCATGGATCGTGATACTTTAGCTTTGACGTATTTTTGATAAGTGTAGAGCTCTCAGTATGCTACTACTATCTGTTAGGTAGTACAGCCACTTTTGTTGGATAAATTATACAAAGGCCTTCGACAGCGTCGATCGAGAGGTGATTTGGAAACTACTTCGCTACTACGGGGTGCAGCCAACATTTGTACGATAATGCTGCATGCCAAGTAATCCACAACGGGAAACTCACTGAATCCTTCGAAGTGAAGACGGGAATCAGAAAAGCCTGGCTGCCTACTACCTCCGATGATTTTCCTGATGCAGTAGATTGGATAATGCGACAGACAGCGGCGGGTAGCGAGGAAACAGGCATAAAATGGACTCACACAAAAAACTTCGAGGATCTGGACTTCACCGATGTTATATGTCTGATTTCCCACAAACTGGAAGATATGCAAGTGAAAAACAACAAGTTGGCAAAGGAAGCATCAAGGATAGGACTTCTGGTGAACATAGAGAAAACAGAGACGATGAAGATTCCTGGCCAACAGCAACAACAACGGTCAGCATAAGTGGGAGAAATTTTGAAGAAGCAACCTCCTTCACCTGCTTACCTACCTGGGAAGCATCGTTTGAACTACAGGCGGACGGAACTGATGAGGATATCAAGGCGAGGATCAGGAAAGCAAGGCAAGCTTTCATTACTCTCAAGTCTGTGTGGAGGTTAACAGCACTACTCAGCATGAAAAAGAAGATCCGGATTTTCAACTCCAATGTGAGGTCAGTGCTACTTGCTATACGGATCAGAGACTTGGTGCCATGTCACGAAGGCCACTTCGAACAAACTACAGACTTTCATCAACAGCTGTCTTTGCTCCCTACTACTCAAGATCAGATGGCTGGCCAGACTTGATCAACAACAGGGATAGATCTCTGGCAATGAACGAGTCGACCCAGCAGGAACCAATTGTGCAACAAATATGCAGGAAGAAATGGAGATGGATTGGAGGCCATACTCTGAGAAAACAAACCATCAAGTGACATCACACGCTAGACCATTGCCCAAGTGGAAACCGAATGTGAAGCGGCGAGTTAGTTGGCAGTCATTGCGAGGGTGACATGGAGGAGGAGGTCATGTGAAGAGGAGATGAAAACATATGGGCAGACGTGGAGCCAGGTGAAAGCGTTAGCGGAGAACCGAACGCAATGGAGACGTTATGGCTGAAACCCTATGTTCCTCTAGGAACTAAAGGAAACAATAATAATAATAAACCAACTCAATTAATCAATTAGTTGTCATAATTGTTTCTAGTATATTTCTTTCACATAACTTATGCTTATTATTGATATACCATCACCATACTGATTGTTTTTAGCTAAAATCACTACTAACGTCAATTGATCAACCTGCTCCTTTGGCACGCAAAGAATCAGAAGCACTCACAGATTTATTTTCTTTATTATCTTCATCCGATGTGCGACCTCCTGTACATCCTGGATTGGAATTATCACCACAACACTTACTGCATCCATCAAATCCAATGGACCCAAGTATTCATAATCCCTCGGTAAGATTCTTTCGCGTTTACTCAACCTATTTTACTTCTCTTATTGTTACAGTCTTACAACAATCTTTCATCGTATTTATGCCGACAGATCAAGTAAGACTTTGAAATGGGATACTAGTCAGTAACTGTGACTAGTGTGATGGTAACGTCTCTAACTGCAGGACCTGTAGGTGACGCGGGTTCGTATCTCAGAAGGAAGAGACATGAGTTCCCTCAAGGTTGCATAGTAGGCCATGCTCACAGGTGGGGTTGCCAACAAGCACGAAATCTAGGTCAAACAAGGCTTCCTGCTTTGATTGCCTCCAACCATCTGATATCGAGATTAAATGAGGCTTGAGTAGTCTGTAAGTTATCGCACAGTAAGATGATATTGTCTGCATGGTTGCGACTAAAATCTATCTGATTGGTTGGGAGATTTCTTCATGAACTGACATCGGTTAGAGATCCATTGGAAACCAGCACTCGATTACTGGACAGCCAGCTGTTTCGACAGCCTAATTTGGGACTCTTCGGCAGTATGCCGAGGAACCCAGGACCTTCCGGTTACAAGGCGAGCTAGCTCGTAGACCATTAAGCCACTGGGACTCGATCCAATGGCCGGCTCATGAATTCCAACTTCTGCCAATTCATGACATAGAGTGACCACTTCGCAATGTTTTCTTCGATGAGTTACTACCTCACCTTCAACCTGCTGTACCCTACTGGTCACGGCTTCCCACTAGAACCCCAGGTAACTACCTACCTGAATAGGGCCAGTCGCTAGTGAGCATCAGATCAATTTTCAAGTATTGATTTTGTAGGGACTTTGTTTGATTGGTTGGAGGATTTCATCATGGGCAGATGTATACCAATATGCACATATTCCAGAGTCACTTTTAGAAAGTTAAAGATAAATGGTGAGATTGGGCAACCTTATCCCACCTAACTTACTGCTTGAGGATAGAAGTGATGTGTTCTTGTGTCTCCTCACTATTCATGAGATGCTTTTATGGAGGACTTAGAGGATGATGATAAACGCCTCAATATCGTTCCATATTCATGTGAGGGCAGAAATACTTCTTCATTTGTGACCTTAACGCATATAGTTGTCTCAAACGTTTACTCCCCCCCCCCCCAAACCATAGTTTTCAACCTTCAATTTGGTCCATAAAGCAGCTCAGGTACGTGCTTATATATAGTAGCGGTGACACTATTCTGCGCTTTAGGATTCTGAAGCCCATGTGTAGAAGGCTTTTGGATTTCAGGGCTCTCTGACACTCCTCTAGGTGAACCCTCCATTCCTACCAAGTCAGCAGTGTGCATGAGACATTTGCATTGTACCGCTTCAATTTTTGAAAAATCCCCCTGCCGTGTAAAGGCGGTGATTGGGACATACTTGATAGAGAATTTGAATGCTTGGTCACACTGAATTATTCTCGGGGGAGGGGGTTTGAGGGAGACCTCAATCACTTTATCTCTGGTCTTGCCATTCGCATGTTTCTATACTTGACCACTAATCAAATCTATCAAGTATGGTGCCTATACCAGTACTACCAGAATGTCAAGTTCTGTCTGGAACCGGTCATGATTGGGCTGATACACTTGTAAGGTATGAGAAAACCATACTATTCTTAAACATAACAATTTAGAACAATTAGTTCCCTTTATGAATTTAGACAAGGCAATAAGAAGACGTAATTTGTCTGAATCGTGTATTTGCGCACAACACATTTCGAACAATCTGATCACACTCCACGGACTTGTCATAGGAATGTGCATATATGAAATTAATAAAGAGTTAAGAGGTGAGGAAATACACTTAGGTCAAGTTAAAAGGACATACTGAAGGTCAAAATAACAATGAAGATCAATCACTAAACCAAATTGAGAGAGGTAATGCTACATCTAGCCTGGCTGGTATCAAAACAAAGTTTACCAAGGAAGGTTTAATGTGATGACACATTGTTTTTGAACGCACAAAGATGGTTTAAACTTCCTAATTACCAGCTAGGGCTTCCGTAAACTTTAGGATGCTCCCTACCCCCAAACACGTTCTATAGATAGGTTTAAAAGACGTGTGGAGACGTCAATTTTATGTCCTGTCTCCTCTGTAATATGTTTCGCAATAGAGGAGCTAGGTCTCCTGTTCTCACCATTAGTGGGTTCTGAAGATTCTAGTTGCTTCACCATTAATTGTAATTATAGCGGAGTTGGGGGGGGGCTTAAAAAGCAATCCGAAACATTCAACGTATATTTTATTTATTTATTTTTACTTCGATCTAATATACTGGTCTAATTGTACTGTATTCAATCACTGTTTTGCATTCAGCTAGACTATCCGTCTTCCATGGCTCAACCGATGCTAATGCCTCCTAATGTTATAAGACCTGCTGGCATACCGTATTCCTCTACTCCAGACTTCTTCTATGGACGACCGCCTGTTATTACCGGCAGTGCTCCAGGATTGGCTAATCTCCCACCACCACCAATAACACCTATGAATATGGAACCGTATTTCCCGTCAGACTACTACTCCTCCTCAATCCCGCCTACTCAACACCACCACCACCCATCATTGATGACTATGCATCCGTCTGCATATCATCATCATAGTAATCCTACAGATTCTCTAATGATGAATTGGCCTACTACAGATGTATATATGCCTTCTGAAACAGAATTCAATCATCAGCATCCTCAATTTTACCATCCATGTGTTACATCACAGCATTTATCATCTTACCCTGTAAATAGTAACATTTACCCCGCTTCAAATCATCAAGTTACCAATACTACTACTACTACTACTAGTATCAGTAATATGCCTTATCAGCCGTTAGAATTCAATGATGATTATACCTCTCCAATTGATCTTCCAATTGGGACTTTTGACAATCAGATGAGTAGTTATTCATCAAATCCCATTGATGCCGCCGACAACATCAACAACAACAACAGCGGCGACGGCGGCAGTAATAATCAGTTGCCTTCAGATGAACAACTGTATCATATACCACCAGATGAAGATGCCTCTGTACATTTTTAAACAATTTCAACTTTTTTATCTGCGCCTTAGTGTTAGTTAATTGGCTAATGTGTCATCTTCTTGCATATGGTGGTTAACTTTGCTTTTATGATGCATTTTGCTATTGAGAAGAGCAACTTGTCTTTTTGGAGTAGAGTGTGGATTGTATAATCAAAGGCATTTGTCACAAAGAATAGCCATACAAAAAAATCAATAAATCAATCAATAAGAGGCACAGTTCTCCCACTATCTCACTCATAATACTTAATTCTGTTATTTTGGTGCATGGAAGATTATGCCTTCATTGTAAGAAAATAAACCAAACAAACAAACCAACCAAAAAGTGATATCGATTGGAAATCTGAACAGTGCTCACACATTCAGTCCTATGAAGATTGCCTATTCTATACTACTATTGCATATCTGCATTAATTGGTAGCGTTGTATGTAGAGTTCGTTACATTGATTGTTTAATGACAAGTTAGATTTGTGTATTTTTTTTCTATGTGCTTGTTGAATGAAATTTTGCCTTAAAGAATTTCTTTTCTTTTATGGATAATCCCCATCTAATAAACAAACTAATATGGAATTACTTACTACCACAGTGCCCAAGTTTTACACATATAGCGTATGAACCCACCTGTATTGGCCACTGGCAACCATGGGGACGTAGCTGCCGTCGCTGCTCCACTGCCTTGCGAATTAGACATCAAATCAAAGGCTCTTGCGAGGGGTTGGGTGGGGTAGTCGCTTAAGACAACCACCACCTGCTTCGGTCTGGGTGCCCTGGCAGTAGAGTATCTCAGCCTTCACACAATCAATGAAATGAAACACCGAACTACCATTAAAATGAATCTACACAATTTGCTAATGACTGACTTTGGCTGAACAGAACAGAGGTAGGTTACTTCCAACTGTTACTGATATGCCACCACCCTTAAGGACTGCCGAGTAATTGAGTGCTATACGCGGTAAATGATAACATTTAAATACTTATGATATTACAGCAACACGACATTCGTCATTCACACGTTATTATCAAAATTTATAAATGGGACCAGCTGCCTGTTTTCAACATAGAACTTTGCACCGATGTGCAGCAGTTCAAGTCACCACACTCCATGTAGCACACAAAGCAAGAGAAGAAAGTAGAAGAAATGCGAAACAGAGATATGAGACAAAAGGAATATTAATATCGAAGAACAATATAGTTTTATTGGAAATTATAAGTCACAAGGAGTGGATGCATCTCTGCCAGCCATTGAGAACGATTTTGAGCCATATCACCAATTGTGTCCAGCCTTCATTGGTTTTTATTCGTCCCGAGGACTCCAACCAGGAAGTCTACACCTTACGTGGCTGGCTCGCTTAAACTAACTGTTGTGGATTTCATTGACTGATGAAGCCATGTTTTGGTTTGACCACCACTAGCCAAGTCTTTTCCAACCTGACCTTATGTCAGCTAACATTGCCCGTTGTCGAGGAAGGCGATGGCTAGGCATACGTAACACATGTCCTAACCGTCTCAATCGATGCAGCTGCTCCACAACCTCGTCGATTGATTTCCTCTCCTTACCTAATACTCGACGCCTTACCTCAATATTGCTCACCCTAACATGGAACGCAAGCACCTATGATCAAAGACAGCTAGCCAGCCTTTTCATGTCTTCCACTCTCAATGGCCAGGTCTCACAGCCATAAAGGAGGACGGAGCGGACTGCTAAGCAGTACACACGTCCTTTAGTCGATAGCCAGCCGGATATCACGTCTACTAAGCCAGAGACGGCGTAAACTGGTATATGTGAAACTAGCCCTCTGTGTATCCGTGCTGAGATTTCGTCAGTGATCAGGATAGGCAATAGTAATTATTATTATTATAACGGGTATTGCAGTGGGTACACGTTAGAAACAAGGCGAAAAACCAACTTCGTTAATGAAACACCAAAAGTGAAATACAAATAAAATAAAATATCTGACAGTCATGAGGATAACCAGATGATGATATAATGGAAACAAGAAAGATCAAAGGATACAAATGGAAATTAGTGTCTGTCTGCGTGTGTGTGTGTGTGTGTGTAAGCAGTCGAGGTTGAGTAGGGACGAGGAGGAGTATATAAATGGCATCATCTTATGAATACATAATTTTAACGACAATAAACTGGAAAAAAGTAAACTGCAAATTGAATAACTGCGAGAGGGACAGAGACAGAAATGGAACAGAATATTAACAAATATTACATGTTATTGCATTAGATACACATATCTACAAAGTAACGCGTGGTGTGTGTGACTCCTGTATGCCACCACCAAGTGTACAGAGAGCCCCTACGGACGTAGAAAAAAAATGTAATTGTGGGAGAAAGTGTAATAATGGACAAAACGACATTCTTTTTAAGGGGGAAGGGAACACACACTGGTCGGCACAGTTTTCTTTCATATAAACAACAGGGTGTCAGGGGAGAGAGAGAGAGCGAGAAAGAAGAAAAGAAAGGATAAACTGAAAAAATATGAAGAATTACTCATAAATATACAAAAAATGCAGATCGAAATAAGTTTTTTTCTTCTTCTTTGTTTCTGGTAAACTTGGTTATCATCAAAGCGCGCATGTGTATATAAAAAATATTTAAGAGATATTTATATATTTATATGTATATATTCACTTATCAGCCGCTCCAGTATCATCACCGTCGACACCTTCATCTTCTGATTCTGTCGGTGTATCTAATCCAAGAGGATCTTTTCCAATCATTTCATGTGGATTATACTCATAACCTTTGTCCTCTGCTTCATCATCATCTGATAAGGATGATCGATTAGATGTTACAGTCGTCGGTGTTAAATCTGGTGAACTTGTCTCCTTCTTCTGTTGTTTATTAATACTCTCAGTATCAGGAGTGTTACGATGTTGCGGTGTTAAATTCGAATCTTCATCTGTTGACGGTTGGTGTACACTAGTATTACTATTATCCTCATCATCATTGACTATTAATCGTTGTTTTTTATTTACTGAAGAATCAGGAGGTGGTCGTGGTGGAGTGCCGTCATCATCTTTTGATGAGGAGGGTTCAGAGGAGGCGGCGTTGGGTGTTTTAACACTATCAGATTCATCAGTAGTAGTAGTAGTAGTTGGATTACCACTACGATTACTCCCGCTAACTGGTGTTTTATTATTTTGACGTTTTGCACTATTACTACTACCACTACTTATAAGTAGTGGTGAATCTGGATTGAACAGTGTTGTCGCAGAGGTAGAATGTCGAAGTTGCAGAATTCCAGACGGATTATTACTACTGCGACGACGTTTATCACCTTGGCGAAGAGAGACATTCTCTTTTTGCAACTGACGTATTGTTGCCTGAAAGAAATAATAAAACAAGAAAGAAACTTTAATTGAATTTTAGATTTTCCCATCGATTGATTGGATCGAAGTGCTCGATCTCAGGTTGACATGTCAGCTTCTTTGTGCAATGCTTCGACGATGTCTGGGCAAGTAATTAGAATTTAATTGGTGGATGGTGACTAGCAGTGGAATCCAGGACAAGGCGCATTTCGTCCTATTTGGGACTCATCATCTGGATTACATATTTGTTATATGGAAAACAAAAAGTTTATCAACAACCACTTGAGATCTATCTCATGCAGTTGGCAACAAGCTACGCATATACTATGTGAGGGTTAGTGATACTAACTGGCTGTCAAATCCTCAGCAGCTGGAGCACACTTTGAAACTGTGTTCCACTTATAATTGGAAGTCCAGTGGCTAGACCAATGGAGCCACGGGATCTATGATGATAGGAATCCGCCTAAAAATAGTAATCATCTGATTTGATGATATTAGATGGTTGCAGGCAATCGGCAGGACGCCTCACCTGACCAAGGTTTCGTGCTAGTTGGCAGTCGTCGCCTCCAACCACCTAATATCATCAAATCAACGTACACCGCGTGATGGCGAGCTACCTAGAATGGTGGCCACATTGCAAACCTGACTGATAGAATTCAGTCTGCACCACACTAGTTACTAGTGTCCAATCATAGTAATCATCTCATAATTCATCTTGTGATTGGATGGCTGTAAAATTTCATCATTTTTTCTCACCTTGTTATTGGTCAGATTGCCAACCAATCAGAATAACTTTTTGTCTACCAATCAGAACAATGTATTTCCACTGCCCTAGGCCGGTTTTAATGTGCTTTTACCTAATAAAACAATCGTATCCTAACAGTCACAGGCCAGTGTCTTTGTCTTTTGATGTTTTACGTGGCTTGCTTGGTGAAGCGGAAGGTATCACCACCGCCACGGACGAAAAGGTGTATCTCTGACACATTAGTTGAGTTGTTCATTGCGTCAGTATTATTATTATTATGTCCACATTTGTACATGTATTTATCTAGAACCTTGAACAATCAGTTGTTATGTTCCAGTCAGTCTGGACTCAATTATCTCACTACTCAAATCACTAAAAAACGTTCTGTTTCTTCTTCTATTTAAGCCTGCTGGCTTCTTTGATTTTATTATTAACGGTAGAAAGCCCTTCGAGTTGCTAGTGTCATCATCGAAAAGCCTTAAAAAGTGTTTTGAAAAAGACTGCTTTTTGAAAGATGGATAGAAGTAATCTTGGGAAAGTTCGGGAAGAAATAAATACTATGAGAAAAAGAAAAATCACCATAATGAATTGCTGTGTCAATGCAACTCAGTCGATTGGTACAATTCTACTATGTTTTCTAAACTACATTTAGTGGGGTATGCAGGGGGCTTATAATAATACCACATGATTATTATTGCCAAGGTAGATGGAACATATATTTTTCAAAGCATAAACACACATTCATCACAAGAATGAGTAGTATAAAACAAATGGTTTAACAAAGAGGCCTTTTCCGTGGATTTATTTTCTCCTTTAGCTGTACAACTGTTCGTCCGTGACACAGCGGTAGAGTGCTCACCAACCACACCACACGTGGTTTGGGGTTCGATCCCCAGCCACTGGACGCACTCCTTTACTTCGCTCGCTAAGCCAGTAATAAGACTGGTATAAAGAGGGAAGGTTGGGCATGAGACTAGCAACCCTATCCCTTAAAAGTAAACACCACTGCTACTGGAACTTTAAGCGTCTAGCTTGAAGCCCCATGTTCCACTGGGAACGTAAAGGAATAAAAATAACTTTTTTCACGAAAGAGGGAAGTAACAAGAGTTGTCATATTTATAGTTATTAATATTAATCCAGACATAAGAGTTGAGTAAGTGTATTAGAGTTACGTAATAAAATGAATTTCTTCGGGCACCTGAAACAGAAAGAGAGTTAGTGTTGCGTGACCGCAGAAACCAGGGGACAACTGCCTGAGGCCAGCCGGTCACACACGGCCTGTATGATCTGGTTTCTTGGCTTGGTTCCGTATTAGTAGACTTACCGCGAGTGACGGACCACCGAAGGATAAGTCGGGATATACAATTGTTGGGGTCGACCTTGTCTAACTCCCTCTCTCCAGAATGGAGAAACAGCATAGTTGGCATGCTGGTCATCTGAGGGAAACACCTCACTGCTGTTACATCCCTGTTCCCCAGCAGTACGACCTTGCCCACAGACCCCCCAGCATAGTGTAAAAAAGTTCTTATACCATGCCGGTAACTGCTTTTAGTCCAATCGCTATCCTAACAACCTTCCTGACCATGGTAGGACCTGTAGAAACAATAGTTCCAGTCAGTGTAGCTTGCTGGTTCATTGCGATGTGCAAGCCCGACCACCACGTCAAGGTAGCAGCTATCGGTCAGGAATAAAATGAATACATTAATGGATGAGTCGTAATCAGAATGTACACAGAAACGAAGAGAAATGTGATATTACATAAGACATTGAAAGAAGCACGAGTCATAAAAGAGGGTTAAAGAATCGACAAATAAAATTAAGTTAGCAGAAAACAACTCTAAGTTGTTACCATGATAATAAAAGTGGTTGAATAATTTTCCTTTTGTGTGCAACAGCTTTGGTTTCTCTATCCGAATGACTAGAACTTCAGCAATACAAAGGAGATGGAAGAGTACTGTCTTTGGCAAGTCGCTCTTCACTTCAGAGATTACTTTGAAGCAGGAGGCGTTTGTTGTTGAGATGGAATGACCAGTGTTGACAAGGTGTTCATTTATTACTCCTTATAAAGCTACTGGCACCTTTCTGCAACCATGCGGGATAGTGTTCTTAAACTCTTTAAGACAGAATATGCGATCAATATAGCTGGCTTCATAGGAACCGGTAAACGCGAGATCTTGTGCTTCAGCTTTCTACAGACCAGTGGATGACTGGAGAACACCAGTCCTAGCGTTGCTGAGAAAAATCTCTTAAGGATATCGTAAGTTAAATCTCCGCTGAAATCAGGGTTCATGTAAAGGTTTGCTTTTTGGTCCAAATAAGATTTCGTTTCTCTGAGCTTTTGAATCTCGATGAATATTGATTTTGGATGAAAATTTCTTCCAGAAAGTCTGGGTCTTCTTCCAGAGCATCAGGGCTACAGATAAGTCGAATTTGAGTGGCAAGGTGTTTCATCAAATTTAGTTTTGGTTAAACAGGCATCCAACTATAGAAACTTGTCAGTTGACCATTCCATGTAGGTTTTCTATGAACGCACCTTCTTAAAGTTCCGTAGGGCCTTCTTGTTAGTTCCACATCCAGAAAAAGGAATCCGGATTCGTTTTCCATTTCAAAAGTGAATTTTATTGCTAGATGGCAGTTATTGAACACCTACAACTGGCTGAGGTCATAATTATTGTCACAAATGATGAAAATGTCACCCACGTACCTTGTATATCGAGTTGATGAACGCTTCTTGAGGCTTGCCATGAAACACTTTGCTCGTAATGGACCCTATTGAGATCCCTTGGCCTAGTTTACTAGTCCCTAGTGTAGCCTCGGAAAAGATGGACGCTGGAGCGTGAGGCTAGGCAACCGTACCTCGTAAAAACAACACGACTACTGAAACTTTAAGACCTGAAGTCTGACTGACTGACTGGGGTTTCAACATAGAACTTTGCACAGATGTGTAGCACACAAAGCAAGAGAAGCCAGTAAACAGAGATTCATCAAAAGAGAGATAATAAACACAAGTGTGAGTCAGGGAAAAAGAATAGTAATATGGAAGATCAATAGAGTTTTATTAGATATGATAAATCACAAGAAGTGGATGCATATGTGCCATCACTGAGAACGCTTTTGAGCCAAATCACCATCCCGAGGACCCCAACCAGGAAGTCTACACCTCCCTACTGTTGTGGATTTCATTGACTGATGAGGCTGTTTTGTTTTGACCATCGCCGGCTCTTTTACAACTTGATCCGTCGTTGCCCGTCGGTCGAAGAAGGCGATTAATGGCTAGTCATACGTGTGTAACACATGTCCTAACCATCTCAATCTGTGTACCTTCACAAACCCGTCGACTGATTTCCCAGTCCTACCTAGCACTCGACGTCTAACCTCAATATTACTCACCTTATTATACTACCTAACATGGGAGATATAACGCAGACAGGCATCTATGATCAAAGACAGCTAGCCGGCCAGGCTTTTCATATCTTCCACTTTCAATTGGGGGGCCATGTCTCATAGTCATAAAGGACCTGAAGTCCCATGTGTTCCACTGAGAATGTAGGGAATAAAAACACATATTCATCAAAGCAATTGTACACACACAGGTGGACTACACAAGAAGGGAAATTTTTTTCCTAAAGAGAAAATCCAAAACTCACCAGTAAACGATCTTGTTCAAGTTGTCCAGCTGATTTCACCTTCCGTACACGATCTTCGTGTACATTTTTCATATCAATCATTTCAGAGCGTAATTCAGCTATGGTACGATCTTTAGCTAACATATCAGCATCTTTAAGCGCTAATTGACGTTTCAGTGATTTAATTTCATCTTGTAATTGACTGATAGTAAGTAGGTGTTCATTGTATACAGAATCCAAACTAAATAATAATAATAATAATAATAAAGGATTAATGGATGAATAAATAGTTAAACAGCCAACCAACTATGATAAAATGTTTTGATTGGACACTAGTCAGCAACTAGTGTAATCTGTCTAGCCTCCAAAGCCTCAGAATGGTCGGGGGTGGGTGCCTTGCGCTGCGGGTTGGCCACCCCTCCGCACACCTCTTGAAATGCTCCCATATGACCGGGCGTCTTACATAGCCTCTCCTGAGGAAGTCCTACTCACTGCCTTCACGTGGCGGAGGTGTTTTTCACCAAAGTGAGAGGGCGAAAGCGGATGCCCGGCGCTCTTCACCGGGTTGACTGTCTATTGGATGACAGTCTAGGGGAGATGGCTAAACCCTGATTCCAAGCCTCCAACGACTGGCGTATGAAACTCACTGGAGCTTACCGGCAGACGTATGGACAAAGGGCTTGTTGGATGTCCTGGATGTCTGGCCCCATTCAAAAAGGCGTATGAACCGAACTCCGGTCACCGGCTGCCAATGGATAGTGGACTCCCTACTCCACTCCTACTGCCTTGTAGGTCACACTTGGTTGTGTAAAGGCTAGAGCTGCACTCTCAAACAAAAGGCCGAGCGATTCTGGGGACATCACTCGTACCAAATTCCCATGAAACTTCATGAACTCTCTTCGTCAGATCGCCGCGCCTGGGCAGCGATGATTCAAGATGTTCATGAAGCCGGCTCATCCTTCCGTAGGAGACAGCCAAAGTAGTGAGTGAGTGTGTGTCTAGTCTTAATTCTATCAGTCACGTTTCTAATGTGGCCACCATTCGAATCTCTAAAGCGACATGAGTTCCTTCAAGGCAGTAGCAGATACGCCTTGCTGATTCTGACTGGTAAGTGCCAACTAGCATGAAATCTAGGTCAAGTGAGGCTTCCTGTGGCCGGCCGATTGCCTCCAACCATCTAATATCAACAATGATAAAAAAAAGTATTATACAATGCTGTGATGATGTGCGTCGGTGGCACAGAGGTTAAGACTCTCGCCGACCATGCGCACATAGTCCGTGGTTCTATGCCCCAGGCCAGCTCACATCTTTACCTCCTTTAGTTGGTTGTGAGCCCAACAAAGAGGAAGGTCGGGTGTGAGGCTAGCAACTCCACCCCGTAAAATAACACCACCACTGCCACTGATGCTTTTGAAGCCTTATGTTCTACTGAAAACGCGAAGGAATAAAAAAGGAGAACCACTGAAAACCTGCAGCGATTACTAAACAGCTGTTTCATCAGCCTAGTTTAGGAACTCATCAACAGTACGTACCCACCACCAGGATTCGAACCTAGGACCTTCCAATTAAAAGGCAAGGTAGCCTGTAGACCATTCAGCCGCTGGAACCCGACTCCTCAATAGCCAGTCCATGAATTCTAACTCCTACTAACTCTTGATATTAGGGCGACTGGTACCACCCAATTTCATCGCTAGTGAGTACTTGTCCTCACTCCCGACAGGATGTAACCCATTGATCACGATTACTCACTAGAACTTCAGGAAACTTCCTCCTACAGCCAGTCACTAGTGAAAATCGGATTAATTTTCATGAATTTGTTTGTAGGGATTTGATTTGGTTTTTAAGTTCGATAACCCAATCGAAAGTGAGGACAAATAGTTACTTCTTACTTCCATAACTCTGCTTCGAAAGCTTTGCGGAGTTTTCCGTTTCATATCACTTGGCATGTTGAATGAGGTTGATAAAGGTATGTGGGTGGGGGGGAGGGGGTACCACTCTGTAGTGTTGAAGCAGTCTGTAAATTCATAATTCAACGCTGTTGAAAGCCTTTTCCAAGTCGATGAAATTGACGGCAGTTTATTTTGAACCTCTACACTGCTCATTTGGAAGTAGCGTCATATACAAGTAATGATAGATTGATTGGTTACCTAAGGTCCCCCTCCCCGAATTCTGTATTTTTAATAGCCATATTGTCAATTAGTAATTCAAAATGAGGTGGATATAATGGAGATTTGTAGCTCAGGTGGATGATTTCGATGTAGTCTTGTGTTTTCTGAACTGGATATTTTACTTGCGAAGCTTTCATTGCCCCAACACTAGGCAACATCTTCAGCGCATGTTTCAATTTGAAGTGAGCTTATAGATTTCTCCACCAGTTTATTACTCAAATACCCAATTGCAACAGCAACAATCCAATAACACACAAAAGCAGTTGTATACAAACACTATTCAAGAGGGTTAGGACTCATTGAAGCACTCCCACCTTAAGAACAATTAAAGAAAGATATCTCATGGACGCCTTCTAAAAGAATGGATATCCATGAAACTTCATCAAAGACATCTACCCCCAAGCCAACCAACCAAATCAAAGGTGCCCAAGGAAAATACAAAGAAAATCGCCCTACCATATATAAAGGACATCTCAGAAATCACTGCAAGACTCTTCAAACCTTTAGGAATTGATGTTGCACATAAACCAACAAAATCAATTCACTCGGCTGGCTCTGTGTCAACCAAAAGACAGACTCAACAACGAAAGAAGATAAAACCAACATCATCTACAAAATAAGTTGTAACAAGTGAGAAAAACACTAAATCGGTCAAAGTGGACGTCCCCTTCATCTTCATATCCATGAATATAAACTAGCCGTCAAAAGACATGACATCCACTGCCTCATTCATATCGCCTCACCGCATACAAACAGCCACGGACATCAATTCGTCTGGGACAACCAACGTTCAAATATTAGACAGAGGAAGGCACCAAGAATACTAGGGAATTTTTAGAAGGCTGCCGGATATTCCAGTGAATCATCAATCAATAGACACATCGACAAAGACAAAATTTACCATTTGATAAGAGGGAAATCTCAGTACCAATACAAGTAGCCTAGAGGGTGTAAAGCTACACAAAAATAACCAATCACATCCAAGGTCACCAGGAGGGATGACTAATAAACTCGTGGAGAAATCTAACAGCTCACTTCAATTCAAATTGAAGTATGCGCTGAAGGAAGAAGATGTTGCCTAGTGTTGGTTGGGGCAATGAAAGCTTCGCAAATAAACCACCACATCCAGCATCCAGCTAGCTCAGAGAACACAAAACTACATCAAAATGAGGTGGTTTAAGAATTTGACTGCGAATCATTAACAAATCTCTCAATCTAGTTGTGATAAATCACTCATCAAATAATTATTCAAATATTATTAACAAAGATGCAGAATTATTACAATCAACTACCTAACTGCTTGAGTAGTTGAAACCTGTTGTGAATTGACTTGTGTATCATATTTTCGTGATCCAAAATCACTACATGATCGTTTTAAAGGGCTATAAAAGTAGACAAATAAATATGTACATATATGTATATATAAATAAGCAGTGAGAATTCATATTGCGGTGTGTGTGTGCGCGCTACTGACAAGATTCATCAGTAGTATATAAAGAGACGACGTTCATCGCAGCATAAAAGTATCAAATAGCGAAGTGATAGATTTGACGTGTCAAAAAGAAGGCAAATGAACCAACTAGTGTATTGTGGTGAAACATGGGAGATACGGAATATGGAAGACAAAGAAACACACAAGATACGAAGGAAGGACAGAAGTAGAAGGAAGGACAACACGGTAGATCTGTGCAAATGACGATTTTCAGATAAGGTGTACACATAATTCCTCCCAAATATAGAGATATCAAATTCCAAAAATAGACATTCTGTTACCAAAAAATAAAGGATTTTGTATTTCCCAATGAATGAAAAACAAAACGATGTTGTTTTTACTGACGTTTCGCTATTTAATGCCACTGCTAATAGCTGCTTTATCAAAGTATTATTAAACCGAAAGTCTTGATATCATTTCCAGTCTACTAGAATCAGATACAACGCTATCACAAAGATGTCCACTGGACACCAGTGAAATAATTAACATATAGAAAATCAAAACAAATGATTCAGCGAAGAGACTCTTTTCAACGAATTTATCATCAAGCTGTACAATCGTATATATATGGTTTTTAAGAAGTTATATCCGGTGAGGGAATTGAAACATAGGTGTGAATGCAAGAAAAAAATGCATGACCTTTAACTACGATTATAATCACAAACATTTTACTTTTAATTGCACTTCATATTATTATTATTTCATGCATTCACACCTATGTTTCAATTCCCTCACCGGATATAACTTCTTAAAAACCATATATATACGATTGTACAGCTTGATGATAAATTCGTTAGGTATGGCCGAAAACGCATTCCGAAAACACGGACCTCAACAGTCGTCATTCCATATAGACCATCAGAGACATCAGATGATATCAGAAGAGTACTCAATCAGCTCGACATTAGAGTTTTCTTCAAAACATCAGACACACTACAAAACAACCTTGTCCATATAAAAGACCAAATCCCTAAAGATTCTCTATCTAATTGTGCCTATAAAATAAAATGCTTGGAATGTGATGCGATATACATCGGACAAACATCGCCAGAAAGAAATCAAAATCAGAAATGAACACCGTAGAGCCACCTCTGTTCGACCACCGAGAAATCCAGTTAGTGAACTAGGAGAGCTTGAAAAATCATCAGCCATAGCTCGTCTACACGAGTGAATATATAGTGAACTTGGTTTGGACATATATAATTCTGTTACCAAGTCTCTTGTATTCTAACGTTACAATTGGGACCCAACTCCTCAATGACCAGCCCATAAATTCTAATCTTGGTCTGGCAAAGGTCCGAATAAAGCTGTTATACGCAGCTTCAATACTAGCTCATCTCGTCCATACTGGACTGTAACAAAACTTTTGAAGTTATTTATCATATCTCACCCAACCTCTCACATGGTCTACGAGTATGACTTTTACATACAGCAGAGGCAATCGGAGTCCATCTGAACAAGCCAAATCTGTGTGTTCTAAAGAAGTTTGTACAGCCCCTAACTTAACCATGGCCAAATATATAATATATTTAAGAACGTCTTTTCCCTTCCCCTAGTAACACTATCTTTTGACTTTCTTGAACTCCGTAATTAGTTCTCACGCTTCTCTGAAAATTTAGATATGTTGATGACTTTTAAACTCTTAATTTTACCCCACCCCCGACCCCACCTCCTATACCTAAAACTGATTAACTAAAATAACCACTTAATTGATGAAACATGTTGATGTAAAAAAACTACATATTAGTATAGAGTCAATGATGAGGAACTAATAAGAAAAGGAATGCATATTTCTTCGCTCAATCTGTTGTTTTTTTTTGCTAAAATTGTTTAAACAAGGAAAAAACCTCTCTAACTGGTACAACTTACTCCATAGTAGATTTTAAACGATTTGTATCACTGATTTGTACACCATCGTGTCGACGTTTATTTGTTGTATGCGCTAAAGATCGTTCTTTAGATCGAGCCAATTTAAAGTTGTATGTACACACCCAACAAAGAATTTGTCCATCAACCTTTTGACGACTGGCCTTTAGAAATGATAATAATAATTATTATTATAATAAGCGCAAAATACATTGCTAATGATTTGACAAATAACACTAAAGTTTGAGAAAAATTAGTTTTATCTTTATGAATTTCGAAGACGTATCTCATCTAAATTGTGTACAACGTACACGTGTAACACGACATTTCAAACAAGCTGACTCACAGACGTACTCGTCACAGATATGCATATGAGAGAAAAAACAATAAAGCATTAAGGGGTGGAGAAAATACACATGCGTCAAGTTAAAAGACTATACTACTGGAAGGTAAAATAACAATGGAGGTCAATTAAAATAAAAGAGTCCCAAACTAGGCTGACGAAACAGCTGTCCAGTGCTCCCAGGTTTCTCAATGGTTTTCTTACTGATGTCAGCTCATGATGAAATCCTCCAACCAATCAAAGTCCCTACAAAACCAATACTTGAAAATTAATCTGATGCTCACTAGAGACTGCCCCTATTCAGGTAGATAGTTACCTGGGGTTCTGGTGGGAAGTTGTGACCAGTAGGGTACAGCAGGTTGAAGGTGAGGCAGTAACTCTTCGAAGAAGACATTGCGAAGTGGTCGCACTATGTCATGAATTGGAATTAGAATTTACGGGCCATTGGATCAGGTCCCAGTGGCTTAATGATCCTGAGTTCGAACCCTGACGGTGGATGCGTACTAATGAAGAGTCCCAAACTAAGCTGTCGAAACAGCTGGCTGTCCAGTACTCCCAGGTTTTCCGATGGCTCTCTAACTGATGTCAGTTCATGATGAAATCCTCCAACCAATAAAAAATCTTTTAAAAAAACAAGAAAGAGGAATACGCGAGTACATCCACTCTTGGTATCAAAAGAAAATTTACCCGAAGAAAAAGGTTTAGTGTTTTGACAGTAAGACTTGATGTATTAGTAGCATTCTCACACTTTTAGTCTGTTGGTTGATCTCCATTGTAATAAACACCTCGAGGATAAACATTGAGGTATATTTTAGACAGAGACCAGCTAGACAGTCATTACAACATAACACAGTTAGGGTTCATTAAAATTTAGCCTGAAGTCGTATAATAACAAAAAGAACTTATAAACAAGCAATACAAAATTTCAATAATATCCCGATAGCTTCGTTATTCCAAACATGCAAATTTATCGTCACTTCTTGTAATAAGCATAAAGCAAGATAAAAAGTAGCTCAGTTGACAACAATCTACACAATAGGCGTAAGCAGTACTGACTAACTGGTTTCAACATAGAACTTTGCACAGGTGTACAGCAGTTCCAGTTGCCCCTCTCCCTTCATGTACCACACAAAGCAAGAGAAGGCAGTAAACAGAGACTCATCAAAAGAGAAATAATAAACAGAAGTGTGAGTCAGGGAAAAAGAATAGTTTTGTTGGATATGACAAATGACAAAGAGTGAATGCATCTGCGCTGTCATCGACGACGAAGATTTTGAGCCATATCACCAATTATCTCCAGTCGACGTCATTGGCTTTTACTATCCCGAAGACCCCAACCAGTCAGGAAGTCTACATCTCCACACGTGACTGGGTGGCTTAAACTAACTGTTATGAATTTCATTGACTAATGAAGCCATGTTTTAGTTTGACCACTACGTACTAACTCTTTTCTAACCTGATCCTATGTCAGCTAACGTTGCCTTCTGAGGAAGGCGATAGATGGCTAGGCATGCGTAACACATGTGCTATCCATCTCAATCGGTATAAGCAGCAGTGGATAAGAGAAACGGAGTTAAAACTGTGACCGCAACAGACTAACGTTTAAGCCTAAGGTGGTAGTGGTTAGCGAAACTACCTGATTAACTTCCAACTACACTATCGTTTGTAGAAATTCATCAAGCCAAGCCTTTAAACTGTACTCTTAAATAAAGCTTTTTTTCTTTTTCACCGTGTCACGCCTAACTTTATCAGTTTTAGAAATATACTTCTTCACAAAATTGGTAGGATAACAATTTTGTAGCAGGATATTTTTAGGATTTTTAATTTCATCTTCAATACAATCCCCATTTGTTTGTATTTGTTTGTATGTATTTTGTGGTAATCATAGTTTTCTCACACCACTGAATGTAACTCAACCATCTCCCAATGAAACTTATATTCTATTGACTATGAATACGGCAAAGTTCAACAATAGCGTCCCAAGGGATGCGAATGCATGAGTACCCTTCAGTCGACCAATCATAAAAACAAGTGACTTTTGCACAAAAACCGACATACATTTACAAGAAAATGCATGAAAACACATTAAACAGGTTATCTTTTTCTGACATGGCTTAAAAATACGTCCCAGTTATAGTGAGGAGTATCAGTTGCTAAGTTAGACTAGTTTCTGTACCCGTATTCACCAAGGTGACTAAAGATGAGCTGTTTTTGCGAATCGTTTATCTCTATCCTGTTGTGCAGTGTTCTGCAAAAACCCTCGGTTGAATTACTACGGTTCCCAGTAAGAGGATCGACGACTACTTACCAGGAAAATGTGGATAAGAAAAATTAAAATCAATGACATCAACTCTAAATGTACCCCTATGTGTAAATCAACCTAAATCCTGACCCTAACCCTCATCCTAACCGTAAACCTAACCCCAATGCTAATTATAACCCTAATCCTAACCCTAACGAGCTATTAACACACTGTCCACACAGTACTTAAAAACGTAATCTGGGTGAAATTTGCTCCTTAGTTGGTGAATGGCGTTGATATTTCAGCTATGATAATGATAGGTGCCGTTAGCCAACGACTAGCATGCGTTCAAGGTTATTGGAGTGTTGCACTTTGACGGTATTTGAAATTCGCCATAAATACATTAGTATATCACACAGTTGTCTATTGACATTATGTTCTGAATAACTGTACATTTTAAATACATCTAACTGACAATATTAAATAACGGACTATCATCCTATTTTATATATGTACCCCAAACAAAACAGGTTCTGATATAATCTTCACGTGTCTTTACTGGCTATTTGTACTATAATATTCATGGATTTATAACTGTAGAACCTCAGGAAGAAGCTATCGAAAAGAATTATTCGCTCAAAATCATGTTGTGCTTGGCTGGCTGGCTGGATTCAACATAGAACTTCGCACCGAAGTGCAGCAGTTCGAGTTGCCACGTTCCAAAGAGCACACAAAGGTAGACAAGAAAATGAGTGAAGAGAATCAATAGAGTTTTGACAAGTATAAGAGTGAAACAGAATGAGTAATGGTAGAAAGGAATATGAAAGTTTACAGAGACTGAATACATCTGCGTAAGCCATTGACAACGATTTTGAGCCATGTCACCTATTGTCTCCAGCCATTGATTCTTAGAGTCCCGAGGACCCCAACCCGGAAGTCTGCATCTCCCTACCTGACTCAGTTTAACTGTCAGGGATTTCATGGATTGATGCTGTTTTTGCTTGGCCACCACTTACTCTTTTCCAACCTGCACCTACATCAGCTAGTAATGCCCGTCGTGGGAGGCGATGGCTAGGCATGCATGTTGTGCTTATTACATTATGAGGAATTTTGACTTATTAATGTATCTACTGGAGGCTTTTAAAAAGTGCAGTGTGTATACGCCCAGGCGATAGTTATGGGCGTACACAACCATTAGAAATGAAAAAAGTTTCATGTTTATCAAACTATAGAAGAGGGTTAGGTAAGAATTTAGACACATGCAGACATATTCAGTCGTGATACCATATACGACAAAAGAGATAACCGCCATATTGCAGTTGAATGAATCCGCAGAGAAACCGGTAGCGAAATGACGACAAAGAGAGTTTCACAAAAGTGCCCACCTCATTCATTGTACTACTGCCTTTGACTACAAACAGGTCACTTAAAATTAATCAAAGATGAGCGGTCCACCACTACTACATTTTCTCTTACAACCAGAATGGTCAGTTTGACCACAATAAGAGCTAACCATAAGAAAAGATGTTTTTTAAACACATACTTGTAAACTATGTAGAAAAAGTGGGAGGAGCCTTTAATGGACAGTCTGTAAGAACGACAAAAAAGATAATGTCCAAACCACAGTAATTTGCAGAGAAACACATTAATTGACAAAAGACGTGTTGTATGACTTATTTCAAAATGAGACATTTGCATACAGAAACTGAAAACTTTAATTCCTATGAAGCTTATAGATAATTTCAAACTAGAAGGGAGTAAAATCATGGATGTATCTCAGCATGATTCAGAAGTCGGAAATCTACAGCAACTATAGGAAGCCACTGTCTCCGCTTTTCATTCCACTATTACTGTATACAAAGAAGATGAAATTACCACTTACTTCGTCTTTGAAAAATGCGCACATATTTCCACATGACTGACATTGTCTTGGTTCACCAAATCTGTTTCTATAATGTAAACAACGCTGGCAAACTAATGCATTGCCGAATGCTGTCTTTAAGTTGCATATTGAACAAGGTTGAGGTTCACCATATTTACTTTTTAAAGACTGGCACTTTGGACAGATGTCACCGTAGCTGCAGAAACAACATATCATTCTGATTCTGCTAACTTACACATAGTACTTGAAGTCAGACTTGCAGTATTCACATTGCTTGAATGCTGAGTGATGAGGACTACACCCCTAAATAGCAAGCGACTAGATGGCAGAACATGAATTTAAAATACTTTGCAGGCCTGTCCCGACCTGGACATTTCGGACTGTGGGAAGTTCCGAAGACATTTTGTACAGGCAAACAAAGGTTGGTCCATCACCGTAGCAGTCAAAATGGTAAGTACCGCCACTACATTTCAATTCCAAATATCCTTTTGAGAGGGAAGCTCATGCAATAAGTGCAAGAGTAGATCATTGTGTGACCCCTGGATTCGTTAAGCAATTCAGCCTAAGACAAAGACACACTAAAGTCTCTGATACAGTCAGGTGAATTGGATAGGCTAAAAGATTGACAGCCTACATTGTAATCTACCATAGGTAAGTAACTTACCAGGCTCCATTTTAACCAAAAGTCTGGATAATATCTCACTTCTCACTGAAACAGAAGCTAATCGTGAGCTCCATCAATGGCATTAATCAACACCTATTATATAACTAGATGAAATAGCTTGACCGAATTATTTCGACAGCCTATTCATTACAAAGTGTGTGCCCAATGTAACCGAAGACTAACCATCTTTCAGGGTATACGTCGAATAATAGCTCTTCCAAAAGTTCCGATATGCAATCCAATCAAAACAACCCTTGCTTTCTCCAGAGTCATACCAACTAAGTCATTACTAATGCGCAGAAATCCATGGGATGAAAACTGTGAAAATCAAAAAAGAGAGGAAATCGGACGCTAAGGAATATGTTCATGGGTTTTTTCATTCCAAGAAGCTTTGTCCGCATTAACAAGCCTAATCCGTCGAACTACTGATATTTCAACACGCCGAATATTCGGTCGTGGATGGGTGTATGCATATGTCAAAACGTAGTTTTCAGTCCCACACTAGTCATTCATGCTGGCACCATTCCCAGACACTGGATGATATTCGAGGTCACTCACGTCCTTTTTCTTTTGCATCTGTTTTCATTAATCACTGGATGCCAATGAGTTACGATAGCACCTATGGTATGCCCTGTGTCGTTGAGACCCTACGTGAAGCTCTCCCTAGAACCCACTTCCTTAAGAGTGCTTCTGCTATCAACCTTCCTTTCAGGGCTGAATCTATGGTCTCCAGTCAAGAACATTTGTTTTCACTTGATGACTTTAGACTCGATCTCGTTTAGGTCTATTACGTTAACTGACCAGTTGTTAATTTAAAGACGCCGAACATAAGCAAAACAGTTACGCGGAACAACTTAGGATATTTTACCTGACAATTCGCGAAGAATGGCGACGCTGTCATTCATCAACCTATTTTACTGTCCGCCTTTCCTACTGAAGTTCCAATTCCAATAAAAAGTTTTGCTGCTAAGTGCTACTTGAATTTGGTTTCTCTGCCGACGAACAAGTGAAGATTCTATGGACTTCAGCTTTTAAAAAAGGAGACACCTGGAGCTTCTTTTGGGAGTACAAAGCCGCTGTTGAGTTGGTGGGTGTCCAGGATCTGATGATGGAGGTGACTGTGCTGGGAGTTCTTCAGCTAAGGTGGGCGGAAGCGTTGTACGGCAGCATGGAGCGAGCAGGGGACCTGGAAGTTATTGGTAGAATGATTGGCAGCAGAGTTCAACATCTAGACAGACAGCATGCAATACAGCAATTCCATACCACAAGGCTGGCACTAGACGGACACCCGCTGCCATAGACGATGGAGCCGGCAAATCTGCTTCGTTATGCACTTTCCACACTTGATGAGGAGTCCTAGAGGCATTTGTTGGTTTCCCAGTTAATCAAGAGTGTTCCTGGTCACATTTCTCAACAACTATAACTGAATAACGCCACAAGACTCACTGATATTGGTCAGCCGGAGAAAGTGAACAGACAGCTTTTGAGCACAACCATAGCTGCAATCGAGTCACCGAAAATGAGCCAGTGAGAGCAACAGACCACAGATTTGCTTCGAGAAGTAGTGGCACTATGAATGAGCGTTAGAAGAGATCAGTGCGTCTCATTTAGCAAACCAAAAAACTGGAGGAAATGCTACCAAGAACGATGACAACATGAAAAATTTAGGAGGTATGACGTGTGTTCTTTCAGTTCCATTAGACTAGAAACAGTAGGGGTCATCAAGATAGGAGAAATGCACTCTAAATTGCAATTAAATGGCTAAGAAGTCGTACTTATAACGGACAGGGCCAGAGGTCTCCTTAAAATGTTCGAACCAGTGTCAGAGCATTAGAATATACCCACTGAAAGTTCAAACAGTAGGTAGACAGGTACTAGAGATCGTAGGCACGTCAAACTGCGTCGTCCTCACTAAGCATCGTGAAGTAACCTTTCCATTCGCTGCTGTGATATAATTACAGCCATTAATACTTGGAGTTGAAGTAAGTACGGTTATTAACATTGGGAAAGGGCTGTGATTAGAAAATACTGACCTATGAGAACGTATGAGAAGGGTGAGATAGCAGGGGTGGAGGTGCTGAAAGTGAGCAATATAATAATGCTAGCTAGCTTATGCGATCATTTATACACTGGAGGTGGAAAAATGTGGGAGATCGAGGAAGAAGGATTCAGTGTCCCAGATCCCGGAAAAGGTGCCAGTTCAAAAAGGAGTGTCGGATGATCGGCAGCAGCCTAGCTTTTCTCCTCATGAGAACTTTATTATTCCTCTTGTGCTTCCATTATAACTGTTTTGTCCTCCATTTGTGTTCTACTCCTCATTCATGGTTTGCTGTAGTGTGCTTGATATCTTATTGTCTGTGTTGCTCACTGCATACAACAAGGGCGCTGGTGAGCATGGTAGTGTGCTTGTATATCCCTATACTCTCTTCATACCATCATTGATAAATACACTTTTGAACACCACTAGCGGAGGGGTTAAAAGCAGTCTGGTCAGAATGTTAGGTGGGCAAGGCTAAAGCGTCACTGGGTACTGTGGCTAAAGCTCATGTATAACAAGATAGATGGCTACACAACATCCGTGAACGTTATTTCTATTCGAAGCAAATCAGGAAACGACCTCAAAGACGTTCAAGCAGGGCGACTAAATGGTTTTCTAGAGACTCCTACGGTTATTGGGATAACGCGAGGCATCGAATCCCGCTGACAGACCGGAAAATGACACGTCACTGGGAACGAGAAGTTAGGTGAAAAGCTAAAGAGATTACAAAGGATGATTTTTTTGTAGAAGCTGACAGCCTATAGTGATCTGGAGTTCTTTTGGTGAGAAAAGTCAGTGGTATGTAGAGATTTTGTGTTGATTTCCAACAGCTGAATAGCATAACAAAGCTAAGACTTTGTGTCATTCTAACTACAAAGGAAACCCTCTGTCACTCACAAAACGCAAATCTGTCCACAGTTCAAGAACTCTGACTAGGATATTAGCAGATACCGATAAAACATGTGACAGGGATGTGGTGGCAAGACATGATAGAGGAACCCGAATAAGAAGTGGTAAGTTGGTCGTCATTGCGAGGGTGACATGGAAGAGGTGATTCGAAGAGTAGATGAAAGCATGTGAGCAGGCGTGTAGCCAGATGAAAACGTTGACAGAGAACCGAAGACAATGGAGACCTGTGGCTGAAGCCGTATGTTCTTCTAGGAACTAAAGGAAGCAATAATAATACATAAAGAGATGCTCATCGGCACAAAAACATCAAATAGCAGGGAGATAGATTTGATGTTGGAGAAATCAAATGATGCAGCGCTGAAGAGACACGTGAGTGACGTGAAAGGAACACGAAGAGACAAGATATGAAGGCCAGAATTAGCTTAACACTCAAGATCAGTTGTACAAATGTCGATTTTCAGATGTGTACATGATTTGTCTATATAGAAACAAAAGATTGCAAATAAACATTCCTCTACCAAGTCTTTCTCTTCTGCTGTTAAAATTGCTGCCGCTGCCTCTAGACAATGGGGATTGTATGGCCGGTTGCTCTCGAGGAAGGAGACTTCAGGAGCTTCTAGCGTGACTTTAGGGCTGTTGCTGAGGTGGTGGATGTCAGTGATCCAACGGCGAAGCTGTTCGTGCTGTGGACGCTGCTAATAGGTCTAGTAAAGGCGGTGTACAATATGTGGAACAGCTAGGTGAGGAGGAAATCTGAAGGGTATTTGTCGGACGACTGGTGGCAGAGTTCGGCAGCCAGACGGACAGGCAGCTTGCGGTGCGGCAGTTCCGTACCGCGAAACTGGGACTGGACGGAGACCCATTAGTGTTGGCGGTGAATGTGACGGATCTGCTACGTCCCCAGTTTGGATGAAGAGTCAGAGTCACAGCTATTGGCTTCCTAGTTCACCACGTGTCCCATACAACATTTCTCAGCGACTACAACTTCTCAACGCCGCACAACCCATGTACGTCGTGCGCTGGCGAAGTGACCAGACAGCTGCTGAGTGCAACAGTAGCCGCTATAAAACGAATAGGAACAGAATGCTGCGGATTTACAGCAGGAAGTAGTGGCACCACGAAAGAAACAAGGGAGTGTGAGTGTGGCAAACAACAACACTGGAGGATGCACTGCCCAGAAAGTAGGGGGAGAAAACCTTCCGACGGGACAGCGTGTGTTCTTTCTCTTTCTTCAGTAACTTTCCCATCCGTTGTTGTGACCGAGTTACAACGAATAATACTTGGGGCTGATTTTCTGCGAGGTTGGCACGGTAATTAACACGAAGGAGAAGGTAGTGGTTATGAAGTACGGACCTATTAGCTTGACTGAGACAAACGAGATGACAGGTGTTAAGGCGTGAAAGTGCGGAATATGACAGTGTTAATTAAAGAATACGGCCATCTGTTCACCAGAGATGGGTACCCCTGCGATTGTTGTAATAAGGTGAGGCATTAAATCCCACTGAACAGTCGGAAAACCGCACCATTAACAACGTGAAGAGTCGCACGTCATTTCGAATGCCAAGTCGAGAGGCAAATGAAGGTGTTACAGAGTGATATTATCGAAAATGCCGGCATTCCACACAAGAGTGAAGAGGGCGAATGGGAAGTACAGCTAAACAGCTTGACAGAGCTGACACCTTGTGCCATGCCAACTGTGGTAGAGACCTTGGATCGTCTACAAAGCGCAAATTCTTCTACAGTGTTCGATCTGCTGTCAGGAT